ACCACGCAGCGGATAGTGGTCCAGCAAACTATGCAAGTCTAATCTTTTTTATAGGTAATAGTATGTAGCATAAAGTGTCAGGAACCATAGCAAGTCTATTTGAGATTACTTAACAGCTTGATACAGTATTTGGCCAGTGTGTGATCATTTAAGAATGCAGTTTATAGTCATAGACATAGTTCCATTGCAAAACTAAAAAAGCCAACTTCAGACACCAAACATGTCTTGGCTGGTCAGCTAGATTTTTAGTAAAGGGACAATTGTGTAAATAAAATTTTTGGCTGAGCCATTATCATGTTTTCTTGCTCACACATTATTGAACTTCATGAACTGGCATTTCTGAATCCAGAGCATGTACTATGAGGGGGAAGGGAAGTCAAGGTTCCTCCAAACAAATGCACATCATGTCATCTGACAATAGCAGACACAACTAATACAAATGCGGGGGTGGTATGGGTGAGATGCTGGGGGGAATGCAGCCTTTTGGATTCTTCTTCTCATGTTGCGTGAAGAGAAGAGACGTTAAACTTTCTGCTAGCCATTGTAAATCATTTGTGAATCCGTGCCCTTTATTTACTGCATGTGGCTTGGATGCGAGACAAGGAATGTTTTGCCAGCAAAAGAGCATTCCTCAAAGACCCTTTCAGCCAGAAGCTATGCATCCACAGAATAGCGTGAAGCATCCTAAGAAATAATGCCAAGGGGAAGCGTCACAGTTCAGCACCAACACAAAGCTCGCACAGGGGAGGACTGTAAATCAGAGAGAGGAGAATGGGACATGGCAGAGCAGGGCGGAGGTGCCAGGACAGCTGTGGGGAGGGACAATAAAACCACAGCAACAAAAGGCCTTGAAGCCTGGTCAGCAGAAAGTAGCCTGTCCCTTCACTGCACTGGACACCGTAAGATAGATCCTTGAAATGTTCATTTATGGTTTTTACATGCTCAATCTTCTCCTTCCAAACGTCCAGTATACTAGACAGTATTTTCCCAGGTATTCTAGCTCTATAGAAGCAGGTTCGTCACCACACTCACTTTTAGGAACTCTTTGTATTGGTTGATCGTTTAGTAGAATGTTTTCTTTTTCATTCTTGTCATAAACAAAAACAAATATGGCAGCTAGATGGATGCTCACCACCTCCAAGACCAAATGAAACACTGTTTCTGTTTCTGTTATTTATTTCAGAAATGTTCTTGTATGTCCCTCCAGAACAGGGGTGTCCAATTGAATCCGCAAAGGCCTGGTGTGGCTGCAGGTTTTCACTCCAAACAAGCTGAAGCACACCTGACAACTGCATTGGTTGGTCTTAGTCTTCAAACATTTCATCAGGTGATCTCCTGCTTTGTTGGAGTGAAAACCTGCAGCCACACTGGCCCTCTGCGGATAAGAATGGACACCCCTGCTCTACAAGGTCCCTCTTGTGAAAGGTAAAAAAGGAAATGGTAGATATTTATTTCTACATACACAAATGTTGAGATAAAGTTTAATGTCCAGTAGTCTGGACATTTGAATAGTAAAATATGCTTTGATTAGTAAAGTAGACTCATGCATTACAAAACACAATCATTCAAGATTTTCCTTTATTTTGTTAAAAGTAGAAGAATCTTATGTGTATATTGAAATGACAGTAGATGATAATCTGAGAATTCGGGAATAATATATAATTTTTTTTTATTTCAGTGGATTTCACTGCCCAGTACACTGGACATTGGAATTAGGCAGATGGAATTTGCAAGATTTATTATAATGTTATTTTTGAAACACAGAAATGCCATTTCTGTCTATGACTCTGGGCTAGCATATAAATGTATATCATTTATTTACTTTACATATAAATACATGTAATATGTAACATAGATTATGTAATGTTTTCTGGCTTGGTTGTTTCAACCATCTGTTAATTTTACATATAATCATGTAAATCAGTGCTTAAGCTCTTGATTCATTATGATAATATAAAAATTATTATGAAAATTATTTCAGGTAGTTCCTAGAGTTCAGAAACCATTACATGCAAACACAGAAAAAGTTCAGTGCTTTGCTTTGTGTCTTGTTTTCTTAATTATAATAAATATGTTTATTTATCGGAAACTTTTACATTACACACTTCTAGTGTCCAGTATACTGGACACTGAATATTACATGCATCCTAGTACACATAAATTAATTACCATATTATGTTATTTAGTAGGCCTACGCAGCGGAGAACATGTTTTATGAAAAAACATGTTTTTAATGTGTCCAGTCTTGGGACTGAGGAGGTAAACATGGACTGTCTCAAGAAACTCTGTATCTTATGTCTTGTATTGTTTTGCTCATTCCATCTCACCCCTATTCAACCATGTCCTGCCTATGGCTGCTAATTATTATTTAATGTTTTAGGGAAGTAGCCAAATCGAAGCTACGAGGAAATTAACACAATGGCATAATTCAAACATGCGTTGCAGCAGAGCAGGTTAATTATCCACCAGGCCAGAAATCCCATTGCACAATGGACTTCACCATCACATCCTTTTCTATTAAGCTTCATTCTAAGCAATGCATGTTTACCCATTCTAATGTGTTCAAATGTTGAGCTTTGGGAGGATGTTAAGCTCATGTAGAAGGTAATTTGTCTTGGCGCAATTTGGTAAAACACCGTTGAACCTGATTCATTACAGTCAATCCCGGTCTTGCATATGTTTGTATTTTCCTTGCCTCAACACAGCTGATGAGTAGAGTCATCGTTGCAAAACCAGTTTGTCATATTTCCCAATGCTGCTGCGTTGCGGATGTGATATTTGATGGGTAACGCATGAACAATGCCCATCAGTAAAGAGGGCCCACCGCAACTGAGTCATATTGAAAATGGCAGTCACATAAATGCCACGTTAACAGTAAAGGTGAATTGAGAGCGCGGTAGACCAAAGACGAAGGAACAAAAGAAAAGGTCATGTGTATCACAATGGGGAAAGTAACACATTTCACACCGCACTCAGGTAATGGAGGAAATGTGGTAGTGGTTTTCCCAGCTTCATGTGGCCCGCATTGTCATTTTTCTGCTGTATAGACTAACCTGTAGTAACGAGTGATCACAAAGGAGAAAAAGGAAGCAGGAAGATGAGTACACGAGACATGAGACAGCAATTGTTCAGTCATTTCCCATTAGCATCATAAATGAAAAATGCTTTTGACCTCAATCAATAGGACTATAGCTATGACAGAAGAAAAGTTTTTTTATTTGTTGTACTGAGAGGTTTATAAAAGTTAAAATTTGAAATATGTAGAAAGCAATGCAGCAATCTAATTGGGCTGTTACACAGACATTAATGTATGGATGAACATATACTTCCAGAAGTTTTATGTGAGAGTGGTCCACTATCCAGCCAGGGGCACCATCAGAAACTGACCACTGATGAAGGGTAAAAGGATGATTAACACAAACTGTGCATCAGCAGATCGGCTACAGTCTCACCAGCAAGCTAGAGCTAAAAGGGAGGAGTTCATAATAAAACTCCTCTGAGCTTGTGCTTAGAGATAGTGCTATGTACATCATGTACTGGGCTAAAGTCTTAGGCCTCTGAAAAAAATCATACGTAAATCCTGTAAATATATATCTATTTGTTTTATTGTTTTACCTTGATTTACTTTTTTTATACCAAAAAATATTGTTACATTTTACTGTATTTCTATTTGTTTATATATGCATATATACAATTTGTAAAAGTCAGAGGTCACCCTTCATTTATTTAACATCCGATCAAAATGGCCATTAAGTTCAAGTTTTTCATAGAAAAAAAAGCAGAACACATACAGTTGTGTGCAAAAGTCTGAAGCACCTAAACCATTATTTAAAACCATTATTTAAAACCATTATTTAAAACCATTTGGGCAATAAGTGTGTTTTGTACCAAATTTTTGTTTTGTAAAATCACCATATATAATTTGAAATAAGGCAAATAAACATAAATACAGTAAAGATAAAATCCACACAGATACAGTAAACAAGACTTTTTTTCCTTCAGGAAAGTAATTGGAAAGCCTAGACATTACAGGGATCAGAAGCACCCCTGATTTCTTTTATTACAGCACTGATTAGCCAACTTAGTTAATGGATGATAGCTACAATTCATACGGAGCTTTCTGGAGACAAGGTTTGGAAATGGTTAAACAAACACATTGACATACATAAAATCACTGTTTACTGTATTAATGTTATTCGTATTTATTTGAATATTAGTTTTTCAGAGCCAATAAACCTTTGAGTACCTAAAACTGTACTGTATATTTAACAAATAATTACACAGAAACCTCAGCAACTAAATTTAATATTAAAATTTCACGGTATTTGTTGTGGCCACTATTTGCCTTCATAACAGCTTCCATTCTTTTCAAAGAAATCCACACCTCCAAGGTTCAGTCTTAGAAGTTGGTTGCATTTTCTGCTTCTCATGATCCAAATAATCCCAAACAGATTTAGTGATGTTGAGGTCTGGACTCTGGGGTGGTCAGCCCGTTGTTCTGAGAACACCAGCGGCTCATTTCTTTTATCCAACATTCAAACAAACGGTAATTTTTGTCTATTTTCTTTTCTCTTTAAGGGCTTCTTGACAGCTACACATCCTTTCAGGCTCAGGGCTAAGTTGTCTTCTCACAGTAGAAGGATGGACAGAAACACCTGTGAGTTTTTTTCAGATCTGAAGTAAGAGTGGAGCTTGATTTTCTCCTCTCTCTCAAAGATGAAAGGTCTAAGTACTGTTTATGTGATAGTGAGTTTTGGTGCTCTACCAGGTCTTGCATGGTTGTTAGGAGTGCCTTTTTCTCTATATTGTTGAAAAAAAAAAACTATTGAAGTGTTTTTTTCCTTTGACTTTTTCCTTCCTTGTGCTAATAGATTAAGTTACATCTAACCTGCATTTAATGAGTGTTCTGTCTGGAAATGAAATAAATGAAAGAAGGTCAGACATATATATGTACTTCCTCAGCCCATATTAGGAAACTAATGAGCTGAGAGGGGGTGGAGAGGTGGAAGAGGAATTACTGAAGCCTAGAAGAGGTGAAGCAGCCCTTAACATTTCAGCAGAGAACATGTCTGTCCTGACCACACTGCTGCTCTTCTGTAATATAATGCTCCTCTGCTGTGTTGACTGTAAGTTACTGTCTAAGTTCTGCTACTTTTCTGTCTTCTTCAGCTCTAGCTTGGGTCTGGTGAGTCATGATCAGGTATGCTGCTTTCTGAGAATATAACTACTATTTCACCACTCTGTGTCTTTAAGGCACTGTACCTCTGCAGGATGACACGGCGCCCCTCGAGGTGGAATTCCATTCAGTGGACTTCAGAAACGTCCTGCACTGGAAACACCATCCCAGGGCACCAGAGGACTTGCAGTACTTTGTACAGTATAAAATGTAAGTTTATAAGTTTCATGATGAACTTCACACACATTGTTAACTTTATTGAACTTTATAGGAGTTTGAACTTTCTGAACTTAGTAACAAGATTTATTTTCAAGTCAGTTTTGGAACATCTCTTTTGGCCCATATGTCATGAAATGTAAAAGGCAATTGGCTTTTTCAAATGAAGTACAAGAAAAAAGGTATAATTTACATTTACAGCATTTAGCAGACACACTTATCCAGAGCGACTTACAAAAGTGCTTTGTTGTCCACTCAGAGAAAGTATCTTTGCTAGTTACAAATAGGTTAGAGAGAAAGCTACTCCTGAGCTCAGATATTGCTAGAAACCAAAGCCTATGTTGATGCCTAAAGAAAAAGAAACAGAATTAAACATAGCACAATACAATATATTTCAATAAGTGCTGTACAATACTAAAGCACTGTTGCCAAGCAACCATGGACTGCTGAATGAGGAGAATGTTCATTGCTGTATATTGCAGTCATTTCTTATATATATTTTTTTTAATTTTGTCATATAAGAATGAACATATGATAACACAGCACTGTTTAATGCAATAAATCTTCGCTTTATAATATAATTTTTTGTCACCAAATTACCACAGAGTCTTATTTAGCACAAATCCAGTGTCGCCCCTCTTCCCACACTGGGGCTGAATCTCAAATGGCTTCCTGCTCCCTACAAAGTGCACTACATAGGAATTTAAATACTGGATGCTGCACCCCAATGGTGCAAAATACAACTAAGAAATACTCATTTGGGATTCAGCCACATCCATACTCGATAAATGCTGCATTATTTGGCTGTAGAGGCTAGAATTTCTAAAATTTCATAGTTAGCACACTATTTAGGCAGTATGGAGCCATTTGGGATACAGGGTGGGTTTGACGCAACTTCTGACTGAAACAACATTTGAAGCGCATAATCCATTCGAGTGACATTTTTTAGACTTTTATACTGCTGTTTTACAGTTGGTCATACTGTAAGTGCTTTAATTCAAGCCTGTGATATTACTGATGGAGGTGTTTAGGCTGTTGGCTATCTTTTAGCCTGTTAGCTAGCTGACTAGCCTAGTTCTAGTTAAGAACACAAGTCACCAGCCCCTCAGTTTAAAGAAAAAATGGCTTCTTACTTCATCAATATTCTCAGAGGTCCATGTGAGCAGTATGAGATTCTAAGATTATTCCATTAACAGCACAAGGTTTTTGTGCCGTAGCGCAGTAATACATAGTTCAGTTGTTGTGAGGTGGTCATAGGTGTGGTATATCGTGGATTTTACAACGGCTCAACCAATCAGATTTTAGGACCGGAACTATCATTTTATAAATTTCAATAATACGGAGGCCTGCTGGTGATCATCCCATACAAATAAAAATAATGCATGGCCACACCTTATTAACACGTGGGAACAAGATCCTATTGCGTGGCCACTACTTAATTATCTTGTTCCCACACCTTACTAAGTCATGGCCATGCGTTATTTTTATCAATACAGGATGTCACCAGCAGGGCTCTGTACGATAAGTTGAATATTATATTGTATTGTATTGTACATACATGTATGTATGTTGCATGTACATGTATACATTGTATATACATCACTGTGATGATTTCACCTGATCACACTGAGTAGGTCTTGTAGCTGTAATCTTTGCAGTAGCATCTGATATGCCTAAACACAAACTTAACAACTGAACGAATGCATTTAAACTGGTAAAATGGCACACAGGATTGAGTCAATGCTAAGCAGCTTTGGTTATCTCCCCTATGGAGAGTTTCTATGGTGACTTGCTTGTCTTGGTTTCAGCTATGGAGATAAGCAGTGGAGCGTAGCTGAGCTCTGTCAGGCCATCCGAGAGCTTCAGTGTGACCTGAGCCAGGAGACATCAGACCCCAGAGAGTGGTACTACGCCAGGGTCCAGTCTGCATCCTCAGAAGGTCTGTCACCATGGGTCATCAGCTCCAGATTTCACCCGCAATGGGACAGTAAGAGGCAAAGTTACTATTTTTGTCCGTTACTTCGTAAAATGTTTTAGCACAGAGTTATTGTAAGATATTTTCTTCTAATTATCAAACATACATAGACATACACTGATCAGCCATAATATTAAAACCACTCCTTGTGTCTACACTCATTGTCCTTTTTATCAGCTCCACTTACCTTATAGGAGAACTTTGTAGTTCTACAATTACAGACTGTAGTCCATCCGTTTCTCTGCATACTTTGTTAGCCTCATTTTACGCTGTTCTTCAGTGGTCAGGACTCCTACAGAGGAGGTATTATTTGGGTGGTGTGTGTGTGCATAAATTTTTGTGGCAAAATTATTGGCACCCTGAAAGAATATTCTTACTGAAACCAAAGGAATCTACATCTTTGAGGAAAAAAAAACTTTCTTTTTATTACTCCGTGACTCTGGCAACTCCATTGTAGTCTATGACCATTTCATGTCTCCCTGGGGCATAAATATGAGGTTACACATTTTTCCTTTGTCATCCATCTGTGTGGGTAAAACCAAACAGCCACTTGAAACGACCATTAAGCACAATCAGGGTGATAATAAAAGTTTGAAAAGCACAGAAAAGTTGAAGATTTGCTAGGAAGAGGATGCATGAGTATACTGCCACAGTGTACAGTAAGGAAGATGGTAAGAGAGGCTAAGAGGAACCCTCTTAGTTCGTCATCACAAACATCAAAGTTTTTCACAGGCTGCTTTGGAGTCCAGGGACACTTGTAAAAATCAATGATGTAATGAAATCCACTTAACACCAGGAGATTTTAGTCCATCTGTCGGCCTCTCCCAGAAGGCTGAAACTTGGCCGTGTGTGGACGTTTCAACAAGATAATGACCCCAAACCCACATTAAAATCCACACAGAAATAACTGCAGGAAAAAAAAGTTTTGCAATGGCCCCCTCATTGGCCCCCAGATTTGAACCCAACTTTTTAATAACCGATTCCTAATCTGTGCAGGTCCACAACCGTCTGTCTTATTTGAGTTGGCAGCTATTTTGGTTAATCCATGCTAATGAAAATCTGTGGTGTGTATTGAAGAGGGCAGTCAACAAGTGAAGACCCAAGAATATAAAGGAACAGGAGATGTATTGCAAGTGTTCTCCCACCTTGTTAAGCATTAAAAAAAAACAAAAAAGTGTTGTTATTCTTGCCAGGGCACCACGGGAAACTTCACCACAAATTAATAATGGTGTGCCAATTTGAAACCTATGTTTTTTTTTTTAAAAAAGTGTGACACACATTATGTGAACTGAAACAGTTTCTTCTGTATTACAGCCATCTTCAGTCCACCAAAAATTAAGCTGAATGTGACGGAACAAGGGATTGTGGTACACATCAGACCCCCGCGGTCCCCTCTTCAAGGAGAGAGGAATACCAGAATCTCAGTCGCAAAACTTCAAAAGCTGATATTCAGGCTATACCTCATACATGACGGAGTGGACAAGGTACAGTAAGAACCTTTTTGCAGTGTCTGGACATTGCTTCACCAGTTCATACATGTTATCTGAATGATTCGTTGCATCCAGTTTATCCAGTTGATTAAGTACATTTACATCTATTGGCCATTGAATATGGATGTACTTTACAATTACTGAATAAAGCCCATTTGCTGCCGTACAATATATTAGCCTCCCTGTATCCCATCCATCAATGGAAAGGGACCACCACAGGACCACCGCAGAGCAGATATTATGTGGGTGACTGATTATTCTCAGCACAGCAGTGAATTCAGTATGGCAGAGGCAAAGTAACATGTGTGGTGCTGTTACAAGTGGCAACAGCATTCTGTGGTCAGAAAATGACCACTGATGAAGGGCTAGATGACTGACAAATTGGTGAAAAAAGATGAGCTATAGTCACAAACTGTACGCCTTAAAGGTGGACCAACAAGGTAGGTGTATCTAATCGAGTAGAAAGTAAGTACACACAGTGTTAAACACCCCAGCAAGCCTGCTGTGCCTGACACACCTGTACCAGTGCAGCACCCCCTGCCAATTATCACTGCTGTGCTGAGAATGGCTCACCAAACAAACAACATCTGGTCAGCAGTGATCCTGTGGTGGTCCCTTCCCATTGATGGTGGGGAAAAAGGGGGCTTGCAAACTTTGAAGCAGCAGATGGGCTACAGTCAATAATTGAAAAACTTCAAAGTGTATCTATATTCTACATGTTAAAATAGAGTGAGGGCAGGGGTCAGTTTGGTCTGAGGGGGACCAACATCAGGAAGTTTAGGTTTACATATGTGCTTTATGTATCAATATTAAAACAAAAAAGCAAATAATAACAGAAATAATATCATAATACTGTAAAGAGAATCACTTTTGTTGCTTATTACAATGACATTCTTTTTCCATTATCACTGAAATTCTTTGTCTGCATATTGCTATCAATATCTCAGCAAAATACCTCAATAATGATGTTATAATAATTAAGAAGAAAAAGGAAGGACTATTAACTGCTGCAACAAATGATCATGGTACAGTAAAAGAGTGTAGAAAACCATATTAAACCATACTAACCAATTCCAGAGTTGGTTAGTACATCCTTCTTCTGTTGTCACTGAGTATAACACAATCTATTTTGGGGTTATATATATATATATATATATATATATATATATATATATATATATATATATATTTATATATATATATATACTCAGCCTTGTACTTTATTCAACAACCATTGGTCCTACTGGTCCTAATAAATGTGTAGTTACACATTAACAATGCAAACAATTACACAAGTGTATATAGTTGTAACAGCATATTTCTCTTATGTAATTATGTGTATATAATAGGTTAATAACTGATGTTTTTCCAACAAGACTTCTCTGATTATTACAGTTGGTGTGTAATAACCTACATTATAAAAGAACTTTTATGCACACTTATTTGAGGCATTTGCACATCACAGAATGGTTTAAAGCCAGAACTTTGTTTACCATGTCACAACACTAGCATAATACTACAGCTTGCTAAATGTTGGGAAAGTTGGCATTCCCTGTGCAGATGCAGTGCAGGTTCTCTCATAATGTAGTTAAATACACACAACTGTTAAAATCAGAAAAAGTCTTGTTGGAAAAGCAGCAATTTATACAATTGTAATTACACTCACTCATTATAAATGTGTAATTATATAAGAGAAAACATGCTGTTGTAACTATCAAGGTATACATGTATAATTGTATGAGTAAAAATGGAAGTAAATGGCAAACTTGCATTTAGATAAGCTGTACTACTGTAATTCATTTTCAAAAGTAAATACATCACCAGTAGTTACATTGTTATTGCACACATTGTTAATGTGTAACTACACAGCTATTAGAGACCCAACTATCCTTGCATAATTTCAAAAAGGGCAGTGGACAACTTGCACCAGTTAGTGTAGGTTATAGCAGTCATTTTTCATTCAGGCTGTTTCCATGGCTCTATTGAAGATGATCCCTTAAGGTGATGCTTCTTATCATGTGTCGTAAATATTATACTTCCCGTGGACTACTTCTCACATCTCTCACCTTTGCCTGGCAGGAGACCTATGAAACCATTGGTTGCTCCAAAAAGGTTGTGATTCAGGCCTTAAACCCTCAAACGACCTACTGCCTTCAAGCTGTTACCATCACACCCCGCTCAGGCCGTACAAGCGCGAGGGGTCAAAGTACCTGCGTCACCACTCCGTGAATATCAGGGTCCAGTGTCTCCCAGAGGTAAGCCTTATATAACCTGCTGCATTGTCTTTATATAGTGGTAAGAACACTCGAGATGGCCAGTGGTGTCAATCACCCAGTCCTACCATTGTTTTCTCTACACAGTCCCCAGGGTGCTGCAGGAGAGTGGGGGTGAGATCTTTCAGACTACATGAAAAAGATGAAAAACAGACTCTTAGTCGTCATCAGATACTCAAGGATTGGTCCCTTGAGATTGGCTCACATTAGGGGCCCATCACCTTAGGCTAAAATTAGAGCTGTGATCTTCCATGCTTCGGGGCTAAAATTAGTCTTTCACATCCCTTACCATTGGATACAGAGCAGGCCTATATGGTATTTTTAGAGCACTTATCTGACAATTTCCAGTTTTCTCTCTTCTCCTCTACTCTTTTCTTCCTGCAGGAACAGACTGCTTCTGGATTCCCTGGTTAAACAGGAAATGCCTCACAAACATCAAAATTCAATGAACAATGAAAAAAATGTTTTACAATAGTTAACATTATATTGCAACATGATTATTTATCTATAGCATGAACTTTGCCAGAAATGTATAAAGCTTTAATATAAGTGGATTGATTCATATGAAAAAATAAATGTCTCGAATATCATTTTCTCCTGTTTTGTAAAAAAATTACATTGTCATTCAAGCTGGTAGTAGGATAAAAAATTCCTTACTTTTTCCTCTCTCACTGCCTGCTTTAGTCCACTAATGCTCCCACAATCCCCTGAGCAGATGTTCAATACAACACTAATAATAGATTTATCAGTTGCAAACATGTAGATGATTAGTTTGATCATTCAGTAACACTGAGGCTGATAACTGATCATCACATTGATTTATCAGTCTACTCAGGCTTTAGCAGAGCTCAGTAACACTGAGATTAATAACTGATCATCACATTGATTTATCAGTCTACTCAGGCTTTAGCAGAGCTCAGTAACACTGAGATTAATAACTGATCATCACATTGATTTATCAGTCTACTCAGGCTTTAGCAGAGCTCAGTAACACTGAGATTAATAACTGATCATCACATTGATTTATCAGTCTACTCAGGCTTTAGCAGAGCTCAGTAACACTGAGATTAATAACTGATCATCACATTGATTTATCAGTCTACTCAGGCTTTAGCAGAGCTCAGTAACACTGAGATTAATAACTGATCATCACATTGATTTATCAGTCTACTCAGGCTTTAGCAGAGCTCAGTAACACTAAGATTAATAACTGATCATCACATTGATTTATCAGTCTACTCAGGCTTTAGCAGAGCTCAGTAACACTGAGATTAATAACTGACTCATCACATTGATTTATCAGTCTACTCAGGCTTTAGCAGAGCTCAGTAACATTGAGATTAATAACTGATCATCACATTATCAGTCTACTCAGGCTTTAGCAGAGCTCAGTAACACTGAGATTAATAACTGATCATCACATTATCAGTCTACTCAGGCTTTAGCAGAGCTCAGTAACATTGAGATTAATAACTGACTCATCACACTGATAAATCAGTCTACTCAGGCTTTAACAGGAACTTCAGTGTTTGTAAACAAGCCTTTAATTGAGCTCCTCTTTAGAATTTGTGTAATGAGCATGTTTGCTACATGCTGTGCGATGATTCTAGAATTGTTCATAAACAAGCATTGATGGTGGTTCTTTTCAGTACTGTATGTTTTTTATTTAGTGGGCAAGTATTCTACACGTATTCTTCTAAAAATGTAAAAATAACTGTATTCTGCATACTGCCTTTACAAAATGTAACTTGGACTGAATACAGATACTTAATTTTTGCATTCTGAACACACATTCCCAATACTTGCATTCTATTACATACCAACCCTGTATATACAAGAGTCAATGACAACTAAGGTTTTTTAAATGACAATTTTTAAAAATCTTATCAAAAAGGACATGATATGCATCTGCATATCATATTTGCATTTATATCTATGCACATTTTCTATCTTAAATACAGTTAGTGATATCAAAGCTTTAAATTGCCTCTTTCAGTTATTAAAACTATACTGGTCTGGTTGTGCCATTTGAATTAATGGCTGTGCCACCTGACTTTACAGACTAATTGTAAATTAAACAGATTTACTTAGACACACGCAGAAACCTTTTACCTTGAGTTTATACTTATATTTTTTAAAATAAATAAACAATATTATAACAATCACACATATTTAATGGTTTTTCTGAGGTCACACCACCTGATGTGGTAAACTGAACCATTCTAACCACGACTCCAAAATGATATTTTTTCCAAAATTTGTAAATGGGCTACGGATCTTGGCATTGCAAGCCTGGCCCTCTTTCATGAAAGCACAACAAAATAAAAGTCCTTTGTTTTTGGTTGTGCCACCTGACATTTGAGGAAGTGAGAACTTGTGGACAAAAGTTTCAGTGAGTTGAGCACTTTTAAAGTCGCTTAATTTAGCAACATTTAAATTTTTAAAATGAAAACAAACATAAAAACATGCCAAACTATTTTATCTGGAATTTTATATAACTAAACTACCTTTTTAGTAGTTTACTTCATTGACAAATTGTTGGACAGCTGCACCACCTGACATTTTTAGTCTTTTGGAACAAAAAGAAACAAATAAATTTTGTGAACGCACTGAAAATTGTTTCACATAAAAGAGGTTGAGCTGAATAATTTGATATGTCATGTATTTGTTAAATTATTTGTTGGGAAAATAATGGACTTGGACACATCATGTCAATGGCTGACACACACAGACACACAAAGACCAGTGACTTCATTAAGTACACCTACCTTGTATCTACATTCTTTGTCCAGTTTATCAGGTCCATTTACAATAAAGATGTATTTTGTAGTTCATACTTTATTAACCCCCTTTTACCCTGTTCATTAATGGTCAGGACCCCCACAGGACCCCCACAGGACCCCCACAGGACCACCACAGAGCAGGAATTATTTGGGTGGAGGATCATTCTCAGCACTGCAGTGACACTGATGTGGTGGTGTGTTGTGTTGCTACGAGTGGATCAGACACAGCAGTGCTGCTGGAGTTTTTAAACACTGTGTCCACTTACTGTCTATTCTATTAGACACCCCTACTTCGTTGGTCCACCTTGTAGATGTAAAGTCAGAGAAAGTAGCTCAACAGTTGATGCACAGTTTGTGTTGGTCATCCTCTAAACCTTCATCAGTGGTCACAGGATGCTGTTTGCTGGATACTGCAGTGCTGAGAATGATCCACCACCCAAATAATACCTGCTCTGTGGTGGTCCTGACCATCGAAAAACAGTGTAAAAGGGGGCTAACAAAGCATGCAGAAAAAACAGATGGAATTGTAGAACTACAAGTGCACTTATATGGTAAAATGGAGTATGACCTTTTGAGAAGGGTTATATTCTTCCGGGCGGGCAGGGACAACGTTTGCTAGGACGTCTTGGAATGGCAAACAAGAAAAAACCTACCAGTTGGTACACAATAAACAGATCAAATCAGGAATAAAAGGATTTATTGATCACTTGTGTACAATATAATAGTAACTCTGGGATCAACCCATTAACCACTATTGGAGCAAATAGCTGGTAAAGAGCACCAGCAACCCACCTCCAAGAAACAAAGTTCAACATTGATTTGGTCAAGTGGGTCAAACGGACACTGAAAGAATGCAAATGATGCAAAAGCACCTGTAATGACTAAATACAGTATATGTGTACTATGTAACAAATGTATTTATTTTTAAAAACATTTTCACAAACCAAACTGCTGGTTTTGCCTTCTCAAAAGAAAAAGTTCAACTTTGGTGAAAAATTTAAGAAAGTGAAAATGTGTTGTTTGGTCCCTAAATCCAGTGAAACGCTCAGTTCATTTATGCATTTCAGGGCACTTTCACAAAGAGTGTCCAGATGAAACAGCGTGGAAGTCTATAATGTAATGAAAAATACAGTACCTACCACTGTCTCTCTCAAGAAACTCCACTGTATCATTACTTCATCTTAGTAAAAATAATTACTGTATGGACATCATACAAAGCACAAGGTTTCCACAGTCTTTTGTTCATAAAATCAAGCGTGCAACTGCAGTTCCAGCCTCACTCAGCACTCTGCCAGTCCTGTCTATATAACACTTTAAAATAATAATAAAATCAATTTCACATGAAAACATATGTTTGTCATTACATGATCAAAATAAAAAGTCATAATATCAAAAATCACAGTGCTACATAAGAAGATACCAAGATCACCACATTGAATGTGCAGTTAATTCAGGACATTTTGACATTGTGACCAGACCACACACACATGCCTACTTCACAAGAAGGTCCAGACATTTGCGAATAAGTGAGGTAACTGCAAAGATTTAAATCTTTTTCCACTGGAGACCCTAGAATATCTTTCGTTAAAGTGACACTACACTTCCATCGTACCTACACCCTGACTGGAGTGAACACATTCTCTTGCTGCAAAGCATATATATGGACCCTGGTAGTGAATAGCACAATTCAGGCAGACTGAGTTCATCAAATCTACAAAACAATTCAAGGTAAAGGTTTTCGCATTTTTTAAACATTTACTTATTATTTCCTCTTAGTCCCCCGGATCCAGTTATTTGATATCAGGTGACGCGCGAAGGAGGCAAGGAAAGTAATAAATGATTACCAAAGTCTTTTTGGAGATGACTGCACAAAACAAAGTCTAGGACAACACCATAAAAGCATTTGAGAAAATACAATTGAAGCAAATGAGCTTGGAAAAATATCAGCACTGTGATGCACAAAGAATGAATATCTAGGCCTGCTATGACTGTCAACAACCACGTTATTAAAAGAAAAGGCTCTTTAATTCTAGGAACAGTGCATTGATATACACTTTTTGTGCCTACTTCTGAACCCAGTACCTTAAAGCACCATTATAAATGTTTATGCCCCTACTAGTAGTCTTTTCTAATATTCTGGAAGTAATTTTCAGAGAACTGCAACCTTCAGTAGGGGCACTGATACTTCAGAGCTCTGAGCTGAAAGCAAGTAATCAAGTCTGTTTAGCAGCCTTGTATAGAGCTTTTTTTGGGGAGATATACAGGAGACGCATAGGAAGCAATTCTGTGAGCTTTTCCATTACAAATAAACAACAGATCACCATCAGGGAAGCAGAAGCTAAAAGACATTAGGGAATAAATTGCTAATATTACTGAGTCTGGAACCGTGCTGAAGGAGGCATCAAAAACTTCTTTTAAGTCAGCTGATTCAATGCATAAGCTCATCAAAGTCACATTAATCCATCCAATAAGACACTATTGTCTACAAATGCCCCAAATAAAACAGCACATTAATATCAGTTATTATTCTACACAGAATACTAGAGTGTGCAATGAAAAAACTTCATTTAAAAGCCAAATGCAATTGGGGCAGGATATGCAATCATCACAGCTATTCCTGTGAAAAACATTACAAACTTTTCAGGCAACACTATCCTGAAATTGTGTTGCAGGGCTGCCAGTTATTTCAGATGGAGTGGTTTTGAAGTTGAAATGAAGACATTTCACTCTTTCTATCCTCAGCTGTGGATATTCAGGCATGTATTAACAAATACAAATAGTTCCTTTTCTGTGTCTTTCTACGTAGCTGTGTTACCATGAGAAAACACTGACAAGGTAGCACTAGAACGCACAAATGCGTGTCTGGATCTTGTACATTTTGGGAAGTAAACCAACCACGCACAGTAAAAGTGCACTTAGATATCTGACAAACATTGGCCAAATATCAGACAATGCTCAAAGTTTCCCCAGGTGTGGAGACATCAAGAAAAGGTCACCTGTGGGAAGCCAAAAAGGTCTACACAGCAAGAAAACTTCCGTCAAACATCTGAAAGAACAACGCTGATTACTGTAATACTGATGGCACAATGATTAACTATGCTATTTCAACCAGGCCAGACCTGGCAAATGCTTCTAAGGATAACACTATATAAAAAGCTGTCATAAACTGCAGGGAAACCGTGGGTGGTTTAATGCAAACAATCTAAATTTTGGAACATTCACTACAGCGAAATTCACAGAAAAGCAGAAAGTGTCCAGTTAAAAGCAGAGGAAGTCGTTCTGTCCCTCTGCTGTCATATGACCCATGTAACTTCCACAGGGAACTAACGCATTTTCTGTGACCATTTATGATTTGCTTATTTGTACCGGCTCACTGGAGTAAAGGACAATACTGAAAAACACTCCACACTGTACACCAAAGTCTCCTTGTGCCACCACATCTACATACGCAAAGGCCAAGAAATGAGCAGGGGGTGAGGGAGGGGCTGGGGGTGGGATTAAGAGAATTTGATTGGAGCAGACTACAGTAGTATTTGATTTCCAGAATGTTTAAATTCATAATGAACTTGATTCTAAACATCCAGGACGAATAAAGAATACGTAACTTGATCATGTATCTAATACAAAAAAGCACATTACAATGCTCTTTAACAGTAGTAGTACCATCATATGCAGAGATCTTGCCTCTTCATATGGAATGTGCACAAGTCAAGTGGTAGTGTAAAAACAAACAGGCTACACACTGGCAACTCTTCAGTAAAATGGAATGTTGATCATTCTCTTCATATGTCCTTTCATATTAAATTACTTATCAAAATAAACTGAGTATAAATAAAAAGGTAAAACATGATAACTCCAGCAGCAATAGCTTAAAATTAGGAGAAAAGCCATGGTGTTCAGTGAATCCTGAAAAGTGGAAAATCTTTTGTGAAGTCAAAACATGATTCAGGCTCCATAAGGAGAGGCAGCTTATTTCAGGACAAAAACTCCTTTTCCAGTTCAAAGACAGAGGGACGACTTGGGGTGCTCTGAATTCGACAGAGGGGAACAGTGCAATCGCGTTTCTGACCCTCAGTGTCCATATCCAGCAGAGAGCAGTCCACTTTGACCTCAGAAGAGAGCACAATCCCAAGGTTCTGGGCACTCTTCTCTCCAGAGTAGTGCCCGAGAGAGTAGCTCTTGTTACGACTCCTCAGAAGGCCCCAGGAGTGAGGTTTACCTCTTAGAGAGAGGGGTCTTGGTCTGGACACTGATTCTGGTGTGATTTGCTTCTCCTGGCTGGTCTCTCTGTCAGGCTTCTTCCTCTGGGAGGATGAGACTGCAGGTTTGGTCACAGAGTTACTGGTACCAGCTGTTGGGACAAAGTAGAAAAGCATTTAACCCTAGGTATGTATTATTCAACACTTGCTTTAGGCATGCAACATATAAATTGTTAAGTCAAAAATCTAAGCTCCACTGATCCCTTCAACAGAACTGCTGCTCACAGCACTAAGGATGTCCAAGTACAGTTAAGCAGACTGATAATAGCTGCGAGCCAGGAGTAAACAAGCAGTTACAAATACAAAAATTGTATATTCATAATACTAAAATGGTTTTCACACAAGTAGTCCCAAAAAAATAAAAAAATTTTAAAAATAAAACATAAGATGTTAGTTCAGAGTGCACATATCTTAAATGAAGGGATGTTTACTGCAGCACTTTAAAGTTCAGTAAACTGAAATCAATACTTTTTTAAAAATATAAGAGTTCGATGCAACGTTTCACACCAAACAGTAGGAAACTAAGCTGCAAAAACCCAAGCGCCCATTTTGAATTTACTGTTTTTGTGATTTCATGAAAACCAATGCATTTACATATATCCACAATCTGCTGCCACTCATACTGAACTTATAAGGAATGCTTAACCCTGGACTGCTTTGTGAATGAGGCACTATACAGGTCCGCCAATCACAACAAAGGTCATTTACATATAACAATCTTAAGAATATAACAAAAATAGCCTGTTCTAATTCTAAGGGACAAAGAGAGGTTAAAAACAGCCAAGTAAAAATAAAAAACAGCAACAAACACACACACACACACAAAAAAAAATGCAGGATATCCATTCTTTAAAGTGACTAATGGCCAAAACTCATTACATATACAAACACAGGCCTGGAACCTGGTATTGACAGATACTCAATTTTAAATTACTCTGATGAGGACTTAATCATAACATCTCTACATTACTCACTGTTGTGACAAACAGCAGGGCTGGATTTCTTCCTCCTAAGCCGGGAGCCAGGGGCATGGTTGTGGTCTGGTCCAGGAGCATCTTCTCTGCCTAGGGTCCTGCCACTCTGGGCTGGCAATGCTACCTGGCCAGCCTGATATAACCTGGAACTGTCTGGCGGTGACTCTTTCACAGGGCTGTGCTCGGGCCCTTCGGAGTCCGACTGGAGGAGACACTTGGTAGAGTTGCACTCTGAGATGGAAGACATTGCCAGCAGGTTGACGGGTGCCGGTGAAGCGTCGTCCTTGCGTGAACGGCTGCCAGGGGGGCTAGTGCTTCGACGGAAGCGTGTGGCCCGCTGAAAGAGACCCTCGCGCTTTTTCTTCTCCTCCCGTGGCTCCAGCTCCTCACTGGCTACAGCCCTGTGGACCTCCCGTAGGTCGAAGCCCAGAGCCACGGATGCTAGGATAGAGGCACAGCCATAGAGCACTGAATCAGTGCGGCGGCGCCCACTCGAACGCTTCAGGCTGTTGGTGGGCGTGTGCTGAGGGGTGGTGCTGGTAGAGCTAGTTGAGGTGGTGGGATCCTCCTGGCTTTCAGCCCCACCCCCTCCTCCGCCAGGCCCTGCCCCCTCACCCTGCTCATCCTTCCACAGAGGTAGATCAATATACACCTGATTAGGGAACTTGAGTTGCTTTGGTTTGTTGTCTGAAGCATCAGTAGAGCTCATGTCATCTTTAGCCATTCCTAAATCAGAGGATATAAGCATTATTAAGACAGACAGTCATTACTGTAGTAATATGAGGGAAACTAAACCAGCGCTCAGTAGTGTGCCGCTGTTCACTTACCCTGCTCTGCAAATAATGCAGCCAGAGGCACAGATTTCTGAGACTTCATGAGACTAGTAGACCAAGGATTACTTCCATCTGACAGTGGTCGAACTCTACAAGCCAAGCAATAATACAGTGAGGACACTTGGGCTACATTACATCTCAACTGACAGATCTTTCCTTTTGACATCTACCTTACAGACACCTTTTTTTCTCCCCGTACAGGAAAAGAAACACTGTAAGAGGTGATAACAGGCAGCAAGTGCCATTGCTTGTTTATTTCAATGACAAAAACAACAATCTAAGGTTACAGTTCCTGACATTGGAGACACTGTTAACTGAGAAGTCATGTGCCTCCTTTAATTTAAGCACAAGCGTTGCTCTAGAAACAAGACATCGTCAGCATGTAGTCTGCACTTCAATTTCAGTGTATACAAGTGTGGTAGTTCATCAAGCATGAAAGAACATAAAAAAACCAAACAAACAAGCAAATACTGGTGTACCTTTCAGCACAGTTTCCTCTCTCCTTGGTCTGAATGGAGCTCGGTCCCCATGTGCGAACCTTCTTCTTTATGCCCTTCTTTGCATCCTCAAACTCCTCAGGCTTATAGATAGTGCTCCTGCCCCATGTTCTGTTGCTTTCATCCAGTGTTACTGCAACGGACAGCAGATCAATCATCACTAGTCTGAATGTCCAGTAAGGGTGGTTTATATCTACCAAGCAGGCTCTGATTTACAACATTATTAGCCCTTCACACCAAAGCAAGAACCACATTTCAGACGATGGACAATTTACAGCAACCGTCACCACGCTCAGTAGTGTACACAGTGATTGAAGCTGAAAACAGTTAAGCAAACAAAAGTGTACCAAATATTTTTTCCTCTTACTGACTTAACCTTGACCAAGGTCTTCCATAAGCATGTGGACAGTTTTATAGTTACGAAGCATGTTTTTTGAATTCATCATCTAACTTCTGTACATGCAGGTTTACTGATCCCAGAGCACAAAATACAAAAAGACAGTAGCTGACTTGTATCAGCAGGCATGTTTTAAAGAAGAACAAAAAGTGAATTAACTGTCCCAATACTTATGGAAGGAGAAAGTTAGTAATGGGTCTATGAGCAAATACTGTTAAGATTGATTGGTGCAACCTAACAGGCTGTGGAGCTGATTAAAAAAAGCAAGACAGTGTCATATCAATGGCAACCCACACTGCTCATCATACCCGTGGCTGGTAAAGAAGCAAACACTGTAAATAAGACTCTTAAAAACTGTTAATTTGTTGAAGAAAAAAATATTAACAGCAGTACACAATGAAGCAAAGCCAAGCCCTGGCGATGGTGAAACACGAGCAGAGAACCCATAGGATCACAGCATCCTTGCCTCTCCTTCCTGTTCGAGGTTTATATTCACTTGTGATATCCACGTCTTGGTGATACACATATATACTGTCCCTTTGGCAAGAGTCACTCGGACAGCTCACTAAAGGGAAAGAACAATGTTGTGGAAACAGTCAGTCACTAATTGCTGATCAATATGAAAATGTTTTCAATGTATAGTACTATTAAAGTCAGAGACCATTCATTTAATCTCCAGTCAAAGTGGACATTAAACAGGAATTTAACAGGCTTTTTTAAAATTTCTGCATAATTAAAGTGTTTAGATGTAAACAAGGTAAAGTTTGCTGTCTATTCTAAAGAAACTTAGCAAGACAGAATCATTCACAGTGGTGGTGATCGGAACCAGATGTCTAAAGAGTTTAATGCCTCTAAAAGCACTTCCACAGAAGGTTATTACATTAAATACATTTTCTGATGCATAAAACACTTTTATAATACTTCTGAGATTGGACTTTGACATAAAACGCATTTTAAAAACTATTTATTGTGGAGGGGTACATAAAAGGTGTTGTAAGGCAAACACCATTTTAGCACTCTTTTAGCACTATTTTATCATCAACAGCAGTAATACATACATACATACATACTCAAAAGACCTCTAAGCTCACTGGTGGTTTTGGATAGTAAATAAAATGGCTACAGAGAAAAGAGTGGTGAGACAAGTGTATTGTCTCACTCTTGTCAAGTTATTCATTTTTCAGGAGATATTTCTGAGAAGTTTATCCATTATAAGATAATCCACCTGCATAAAGAAGGGAAAAATCAAATGAAACTAAGTTTAAAAAAAAAAACATTTCAGCAGAGTGTTCAAACATTTATCAAAGCTATAAAGAAAATTAGGCTCCTACATTAAAAACCATGCAAGACCTGGTAAACCACCAGAACTGTTACATTAAGAGAAACAGCACTTAAAGCTTTCATTTTTGAGAGAAAGGAGAAATCAAGCTTCACTCTTGCTTCAGATTTGAAAACATCCCCAGGTGTTTTTATCCTTCCTTCCTCTGTGAGAAGAAAACTCAATGCTATGAGACTGAAAAAAGATGTTTAGCTGTCAAGAAGCTCTTACTGAGAAAAAGAAAAGAAGAACATTTGCAAAGCAAACACAGAAGCTGCTGGTGTTCCCAGCTCATCACATTTAATGTATGTGGGATTATTTGAATCATTAGAAGCAGAAATGCAACCAACTTCTGAGACTGAACTTTGGAGGTGTGGGGAAAATATACTTGCAGATTTCTTTAAAATACTGAAAGCAAGTCTCCAAAACAAAAAAGAACATAACCTGTAATAAAAGCAAAGGGTGGACATATTAAATAATAAAAATGGCATATTATATTTACTTGTTGAGGCTTCTGTGCCATTTCTTTAAATAGATTTTCTATTTTATGCTTCCCCCAGATGCTGAAAACAAATTAACTGTAAAGGCTGCTGTGAGTGGAAATTAAATAAATGAAAAATGGACTTTTTCCACAGTACTGTATTTAGGCTGCATGAAACACTGAAGTAACTCTTCTGACACCTCTATGTGAGCTTGATGCTTCATTTGCTGTGCTATGAAGTTTGTTCTTTGTTCTTTAATGTTTCTTTGCGTGATGAGTGTATTCTGAAATAAAAAGTTCTCAAAAATAAGTTTTCACAACAAATTAAAGTAACCCAAACGGAGGTGTGAGGTCAGGGAGTGAGTAAAGCCTACATACACTGGATGGCACGCAGGCGGGGGATGAGAGTAGGGCTGCTGGGGGGGCTGGAAGTGGTGCTGTTGAGGCTCCTCCTTTTCTCCATGGAAGGTGAAGCCTGCACTGTGATCTTATGTTGAAAATCTGAGACAAAAATATGCCCACGCACACAAACATTAACTTTCCTTTTGCACAGACAGCACTTTTAACATTTCTACACGGTTGATGCAATGCCCTTTCTACTACTGTTCTGATAACAATGTCTATTCAGTATTGTACAGCCTTAACTCTGGTCACTGTCCTGCACTTCAATATTTGTCTATGCTTTATGATGATCTGTGTCTGGCTTCATGAACGCTGAACATATTGCACCATACCGACAATTACTTGTGGTTGTGTTGTCCTGTATTCAGTACATGGCAAGTTGGTTGCTTCTGATTGGTCTGACTCACTTAAGACAAAGTTGTTGATAATGCAGGCTATAATAAAAACTGCAGCTTTTACAATTTATACATTGCACTCTTTTAAATTGCTATGTCTACATAAAAACGATTTATCTTTCAGCTGTAGAGAAAAGTCACCCCTGCCAACTGACCTGAAGGCAAGCTGATGCGGTTTCCATCCTTAAGCTTGAGGCGACTGCGCTTAAACTTGCCCTTCCTCTTTTTGACGTTGGGCTTGTCCTTGTTGAGTTGGAAAATAAGAATGTTGAGCTCGCGCTCAAGCACATTGATCTCTCTCTCGGCCAACTGCTGTTCCCTCCTCTTCAAGAGCTCCTCATGTGACTTCTGCTGCAGCGCTGCCCGTGTCAACTCCTCCTCACGCGAACGCAGTTCCTGGAGAAGCATGCACAACATTTAAGGACCTGGTAATAGTGGTGGGTTTGGTGCAAGTTTGTGACACTTCCAAAACTAATGCAAACACAACACGGGTAGTCTGAACAGAAACCTTGGGTAGCTATATCATTTAGTATGGCTGCAGGTTTGTTGAAGAGATTAATGAGAAAATCATGAAAATAATGACTAAAAAAAGTGCTTAATGCTTTCCAGATGATCTACTATAATTTAAGTTCAAAATGAAAAGGATTTTTTTTTTCTGCCAATAATGGCAAAACATCCCTACGATGTCTTTCCATTATTTTCTATAATAATATTTATATTATTATAATATATCAATTTCTTCGCTTATTAAAAGTAAAAGCTAGTGAAAACTATAGTAATGCCTGCAAATGATCCACACTACACAATCAATTTGTTGTTCTTACTTGGTATCAAAGAAAATAAACAACATCCAGAAGCTTCCCTAGCTGAAATATTGAGTGTTGCTTCACAGAAATAGAGATGTTTTCATAGTGGCCTCCCTATGACTATCACTCGCTGACAAAGAAGCAATGACATTCAGGCATTTAACAGTTGCCTTAGTTGTAGCTTGACAGCTACTGAACCAGCAGCTCCGATTCTACAATGAACTTTTTCTGAGTAAGAATGAAGATGCTTTTGAAGAGGACGGAAGGCTGACCTTCTCTTTAGTCCGCAGCTCATCAAACATCTCCTGGATCTCCACCCTCCAATCGTCCTGCATTGAGTGGAAAGAGTCCTGCGGCATGGTGGCCATTACTGCCTCCTCTATGGCTGTCAACTGCTCCAGGATAGCAGCGAATGTTGGTCGGATGTGAGGATCCTGCTCCCAGCATTCTACAAAGTGCGACATATAATTAATGCAGATTGCACATTTAAATAATGCTGCAAATTAGAGTTTTAAGTAATGGTAATGTTGACTACCTACTGGGGATGTACTAGCTCAACAAAGTACACAGAGAATGTGGCATGATCAAACATTCAATGACAAACACCAACATACTAATATTGGCACTTATAATGGCAAACAAGGGTGAACTGTGTGAATGCAGAGAGAACATTCTAGGGCAAAAACACGTATTCTGTGGAGACAAGCAGAAATGCTAATAGTGTTAGTGTTAGCTTTCTAAGTAGCCTATGTACAGCTTATAGTAAATTCTTTGCAAATGAATCAACACATCAACATACCATTCTTGTTTCTTTTTGGGTGTTTTTATTGTTGATGTATTAGTGTTAAAATCAGTGATGTACTTGGGGACAGAGTTCACTGGATCACCAGCATAATGTTAAATAACTAAGGTAATCACACCATTTTCGTTTGTTTGACATTCTCTTTCCTGTTCAGTTTTTTCTTCTTCAAATCCCACTCACCCATTCAGCACCGAAGAAGCAGCGTCAATAGCTTCTTGTAACAATATTCAGGCTTTTACAGAGCATAGAGACAGACTCTGTACTAAACAAAACTATATATATATCAGTGAAAAAATTACATTTGAGGTTTTAACGTCCAAAGGGATTTAAGCAGCAGGCAAGTGTAGTGGAGCCCTGCAAAAGTATTTTATCCATATAACAGTAACATAAGTGTTCGTGCCTAAGTGGTAAAAAAAAACAAAAAAAACAACAAAATTACACCCTCATGTGTCGGTCAGTGTGTCTGCTGACAGACATTTAAAATCAGTAACATCAACATCAGTCACTTTAGTTTTTTGAACAAATTGCATTTTTTCAGTACTGGTATTCTCTTTTAATCATCCACCATCATTCTAATTGAGGTGCTGCAGGAGACGGTCATTAGTATGAAGAAAAAAAAATAATAATGACATAACTGAAACGAATGAACAGCCAGCTTTTATGTTTCCAAACATTCTAGAACAGCATGAATAGTGGAGGACAGAGAGCAGGGACTAAGTTTCTAGAGTCTCCCAGCAATCACACACAGGTATGACACACAATATTAAAATTTGGGTTTGTTGGAGGACATTGAGCTGGTGTGCTCTGGCCTAAACAAAACAAACATACCTTCCATGAGCTTGGCGAAAGGCTCAGGACAAGTGGATGGGATGGGAAGTGTTAATTTGTTGACAGCCACTCCATAAGCAACGGCCAAACCATCAATCCCACGATAAGGTACCTCTCCTGTCAGCAGTTCCCAGAGGAGCACCCCATAACTAGAAAGAGGGCAAACCAGATTTATTTATGCAACTAAGGCATTACAGTTTACAGAGATTTAATATCATTAACTATTTCATTTCATTACACAATGAGATTCCCTACTGTATACCACTTCCTGTCTCATTTAACACATGAAAGCCTAACATTTTACAGGTCAGGGCTTACCTCCATACATCACTGCCTTTGGAGAAGAGGGAGGACTTGATGACCTCAGGAGCCATCCAAGAGTATGTGCCAGCAGCACTCATTTTGGTCGTCTTGTGCCACTCTCTGGCAAGCCCAAAGTCAGTGATCTTCAGTGTCTTCCTACCAATGTCATTGTTCTCAATTTTTTCAAGTAGTAAAACTGTAGAAAGAAAAAGAAGGTACATAAATAAAAGTGATCATTCAACATATCACAAAATTTTAGATACAGCCTAAAGCAAACATGGACAGAGTCATGATTCACCATCATCACAAACATTTCAGGACAAAAACTAAAATCAATTTTTAACGTTGTGTCTGTTCAGTGGTAGAGACATCCAAGGTAGACGCAATAAAATTAGTATATCCACACATTTTTAATGAAAACTTTCCACCCATTTGGACATCCCTAAATTCAGGCTTGAATTTTCATATTTTTAATTACAACAGAATAAAAAAATGTATTCTATTGTGAATTTAACAATTTTATTTGATTATTGAAAGGAAAATATCCAATGAATTGATTTCCATTTCACCTGCAGAATGGCAAGCAGAAGGCCCACAGAAAGGGGTTAAGAAAACCTATTTTTGTAAGTAGGCTATTATTCTGAAATGCCCATTCACTTTCATGAGAACCATATTTAACAACAGAAGTCAATGTAAAATATTTTTATGGTACAAAATCGTTAAAAACAGAACTGAACAATTATAGATAAACCTGTGGATGCATAAAACATGCTTACATCTCAGAGTACCACACTCTACCGGAGTTTAGTAAATATTAGTCATTCACGCTGTCAGTAGTAGCAGTTGAGCAGGGTATTTCTCGGCTTGATGGGAGCAACAGGCCCCACACCATGCCACTGTCTGATGTAGCTGACTAATGGAGTGCTGAATGCTAACCTTAGGTGTGTGAGTTACAAAGAACTGCAATTGGTATATCGTCCACTACTGTCGTGTCCCCTCAAAATAATGGTATTACAGATTTTGCATGAGCATTTTTACTACTATAGTTGTTCCACACCGCTGACATGCTGCTGCATCAGTTAAGGTCCATCTATTGGTGAGCATGCACACATCACTCAGTAGAGAGCGTATACATCAAAAATTGCTTCGTGGTATCCGCATTCTTTACTGCTGATACCAATACTGTCCCTAGCATCGGGACACTGATAACATGGTAATGCATCTCTCTGGTGCGTACTGATTATGTCTATGAGACATAGACAAAAAACAAAAAAATGAAGAGAAGAAAGAAGAAGAAACACTGCGTAAATCAAGCATTTCTGAAAAACTTATATGGACTTTCAGGCATAAAAACTGTATTGGGTATAAAAATCTAAAACTCAAATCATGCCTGTCCATTTTATGATAATTTTGAAACTTGCTACTAAACTTAAACTTTTCGCAACATAGATTTACTAGATAGAACACATTTCTACTTAGAAACCATTCATTATTCATTCTCTCTTTTTTATACGTTTTACTGCTGCAGTAAACACATCAAAAATACTTTGCAGTTCAAACTGGCCATTAGCTACAATAACTCTTCAAAGACAGTGGAGACCTCCAAAAGTATAGTCATCACATCAAAAACCTTGTTTTTCCATGTTCATATTCTAACATTCTCCAACTAGGTAGAGTCTTTAACTTAAAATATTTTCTGAAGGTTCACTGTAAAACTGCAAGAAACCAGGTAAAAACTGTGTTACTGTCATATGTGACAAAATTTGAACACATTTACAGTTGCTGTAAGTACTAATTCACCCATTAGTTTGTCGCCAAGACCACAAATCCCATGGAGGTACTAGTGCATTATCATTAATTAGCATTATCAAAGCAGTAGCAATTCTATAAACAATAGGTATTTATAAAGTAAAGGTCTGTACTGAGAATTGTGGACAAACAGGCAACAAGTTGTGGACTACTGGGGACAGGATTGGACAGACAAATCATAGACTACTTTGGGAACTTGGCAGGCAGCCAGGTAAAGAAATATGCTGCAAATATGCCACGGACAAAAAACAGTTAGTAATATGAGAACTGCAATATGATTGGTAAGAAGGAAAAAGATGAAAGAAATATGTAATTAAAAAAATGCCTTTGTCTTTTTTTGTCTAATGACCCACCCTAAGGCTGAGAACCACTGGCAAAGCTTGACAATGATAAAAACATCCAAGTGTCTGAAGCTCGCTAGCAAGCACTTAGCACAACAAGCCACTGGCAAAGTACTAAAGATGATGTGTTATCCTGGCTGGGCTCCTCACATGATCTAAAGTAGCCAGCTAAATTTTAACTTTTGCCTCCGCATGTTGGGATCAGATCTCGGTGCAGAGAGGAAAAAAGGCTCCATTAAAGTGAAAGGCCTAGGCAAGAGCAGAACCTTTTTTTGTGATAAATGTGAATGCTGCTTCACTTGTATTACTGAATTGACCACTGTTTCTTAAGTAGCACTCACTTTTTTGACAGCTGGAGCCACAGAATGTAGCAGCATTTGCACTATTAAAATATTTTATCTTGCTGCTTGATTTTTTTGGTCTGAAAATAATTCAATTCAAGAGTTTGCAAAGATAACTTGTTGCTATTTGTGTCTGCAAATACAACTGATAATGGTTTGAGGCGTGTGAGCATTTGACCATGAATCTAAGACTGCACCTAATTCACATGAGTCTATTGCAATGTTAAAGTGGTCAAATCAATTTAACCTTGTCTGGTGTTTTGCCAGCATAGTTAAGTGCGGCATCACTCCGTCCCTGCCTCCAATTGGAATTGGCTGATCATGCTAAAGGACATTCGGCAATCGGTATCGACCTCACAAAAACGCTAATTGGTCCAAGCGCCATCAAGCACTTTTTTAAAAAAAAAAAAACAAAACAAACAAAACTCCACAAAATGTATAACCACAAGCTCCCAAATGGCACAACTGTCTAAATGTTGGCCCGATCATATGTAGATTGTGAGTTCGATCCCCAATGATGCTACAGCCATTCATGGCTGGGAGTCCATGGCTGCTCTCTTATGCTAGGAAGGATTGGTATTGAGTGATTGGGGGAGTCTTAACTAGTGGGTGGAATTAAATACGACTAAATTAGGGAGAAATTTGGGCGGGAAAGTATAGCCACCTACACATTCCTGATAAAAAAAAAGACATTTTAAATACTCTGTGTGTGCTTATCTTATTTATGTAGCTTTTTTTTTAAAAACAATATAGTGATACCATGAAACCATGATAAAAGGCACATGCCTAATCCACATTTAACTGAAGATTAAGCAGTCACCTTCATTATTACAAGGCAAGTTGGTTTACTGCCAGCTGAAGTTATCATGAAAAACTCAGCAGTTTCCCTTGTTGGAAAAGCTATCTGAAAGCAAACAGTTCCAAAACTACCAAAGAGCTATGACAACTCAGCAGATACCATAATAATACACTCAGTCCTCAATTTGATTTAAGTTACGATATTGTGTTCACAAATCGGTACTCTATAATCGTGTTGTTGCACAACTTACTAATGGTACTAGAGCTGGGAGGCTCTGCAGCTCTCGTACTCAAACAGCGTGAGTGAAATATATAGCATAATTAAAAGATTTATTAAAACATTAAAACATTTTTTTTTTCCCTGTCATATCATGATGCATTGTTACACCTCAGCACTACATTTTCTTTTCTATTTACTCAGATAGCACTGAATTCCAAGGACTGTTCTAAGAATAAAACATGCAGGAGACAGCCTTTCAGATTCTGCATAACAACAGTGCACAGCTGCATTAAGTGATCCATGTTTAAAAACTTACTTTCAAACATTGTCTCATATCGTCATGTAGTCAAATCGTCTGAGACAGAATTACACCAACTACTTTTATATATCATTTAATTAGTAAAAGTTGTCAAATGACTGTTTTGCTGGTTGCAGTTTCTCCATTCCATAAATAATCCTCCATTCTACCATTTAAGATTATTAGCCAGTGCACAGAAGAGTGCACCACAGAATGATTTTTTTTTTTTTTAAACCAGAAACCTTCATCATAAGGAAGACATGCATCTCAGGATTCCATTTCAAACAGGTTTGGGTAGTCTGCGTTAGTGAATCTCAGCTGTTTCTCAACAGCACTGACACAGCTTGAGGTACCTGCGAAGAAACAACCTTCAAAACAAGATGGCATGTGCACATGTTTACAGTTTCACTGGGGCCCAAAGTTAAGGGTTCTGAAACACCTATGAAATCAGAGAAGTTTTGGAAAATGTTCATTCAAAACAGCCTTTATGTAACTAGTTTAAAAAAGAAATTTGTAAGACTTTTGGAAAGCACAAGGCCAGCTAGTATCTGTGAGACCTAGAATTATGATTCTTTACTCCATTATGTAATCAAAGAAAACAATAATTGTTGCTGATCCTTTGAATTGCACAAAGGAACAGTTGTGCAATGAATGTCAGTTCACACCCAGTTTCAGATGCTTAGGACAATAATAATAAAAATAAAAAAATAACACCAAGAATGTACTAGTGCGGAAATGATCGTTTTAAAATCTCTCAAAGAATTTTTTAAACTGATTTGGAGTAATTCAAAGATAGGCGAGTGCCAAATAAGAGTAGTACTAGTAATAATAATAATGATGATAATAATAATAATAATTTTACTAATTTGAGTTCAGGGACAATAAATGCTTGTTTAACCTCATTCCTCTTTTGTTTCAGGTGTTTAATAGAGACCATGTTGTTAAGCTGAAAATCATCTTTGTATTTAGGAAGGTTATCAGTTTTACTACGATACTACGCTGCCTAGCGCTTCAAATAGTACTTTGTTCTTTATTTCCCATTCTGAGTTACATGCCTTCTTGAGAGGACACACATTCCTGAGATTCCTGAAACTTTCGTTTCATGTTCCTGAAACTCAATAATAATGTGTGCTCTAAGGCTTGGCACTGGGCCAGGTTTCACTACAACTGCTGGCTACAGTTCTGCATTACATATGCTTCCAATCAGAGGAAGCTCCCCGTCTTGGAGAGAAAGCAGCTGCCATTGAGGAGATTAAATATAATGGAAAATAAGCCTTTCAGGCTGAGGAGTCGGGGCATTCTTGTGACGGCAGTCACCTAGCAACCAGTGCTTGACCACTCCATTGTACAAACTTGTGTTAAGCTTTTGCCCCCTCATTAGCGACATTCCTTCGAGTGAGGTATTAAAAGATTAGGGCACACAAACACTATTTCACTGACTTTTTGCTATGCTTTAAGAATGACCACTGATCTTAAAGTCTGGCCACAAAGTAAATCACTGGTTTAAGATTCAGCTGTAGTTTCTCTCAATGGTAAGTTAAGAGCGGCAGGGCTAGAGATTTGAAAGTGCTATTTGTGCCGCTCTAACAAAGTATCTTTCACCTTCAACCTGCTCAATAATACCGCAGCTGAATGACCAGTGAGCTGCCTTATTCACTGGGGTTCTCCTTACGAAGAGTTGAAAGCAATGCACTGACAGAAAAGGCTTGGCACACAGTGGGTGGTGTCCTGTGTACAGCCCTAAGCAAACACACAACTTTTCAATTAAGGTCAGCAAGCTTCCAGTGTTGTTTGTCACAATCTTGTGGCGGGACAAACAAACTTGTGTTAACAGTAAATGGGGGTACACTGCTGACCAAATTAATATATATAAAAAAAAGCAATGCAGAAGTGCAAAACAAATAACTGCACAAAAGAAGCTTTGCAGATCTGTGCAGAGTAGTTTTGCAGTCAGTATTGTTGTTTAAAATATACAACTGTTGAATGAATATTTTAGTACGTAATAGTCTGTGTCTAATTCTCTGCTCACACTACCCCAAAGTTTCCTTGGACCGTAATATAAATAAGTCAAATCAACTTTTATCTCTCCTTTTCAGTGGTAAAGCATTAGCAGCACTCAAGACTACAGCAGCAGCCCAAGTCAACAGGAGTACTGAAATTCACCATACTCTATATATGAGAAGCCAGCTCAGGAAAAAGGTGATACCCCTTTTTATCTACACAGCAACATCATTTTTTTAACTTGTCAGGATTTGCTCTGCTTGGATTCTGCCTTCGGTATCAGCATCCGTGGCATCCGACTGTAACTGAAAAAGCTAAAACATGACTTGTGTCCAAAACAGTCCCTGTAACAAACTTTCAAACCAAAAAATCTGGGCATGCGGGCATTTACAATTCCCAAAGTTTACAAAATACTGTAGGCAGAAAGCACCAGCATGACTGCAGGGACTGAACATTTCTTTGGCGAAAGGCATCACAGCAGTACCATTACTGCTTCTGGCAGAAACAGCACCACTTTAGGCACAATCAACCATTCAGTGATGACTGCACTTTGAAATTGTATAGAAATGCAACCAAACAATAATAGTCTACTTTGTAGATACCATGAAATACATATCCTATGTCCTTGCTATATTGGCATTTTATAAAATAAGCTGTATTAAAACCACTCTAATGATACTTGAAAGTACTGCCTCTTCCATTAAGCAGACTAATTGCTACAGGATAAATTTTACTGTATAGCATCACAGTAACTCTGACAAGTTAAGCTAAAACCAGTAAGACAGTAGTACCTAAAACAGATACAGCGGCACACAAGACAACATACATTTCTTAGTATTTCATTATTTATAGGCCTACATCTTGTATTTAACATCAAGACCCTGCTTTATACAGACACTGATATTACAAACATTAAGTAATAAAGATTAGATAAAAAAGATAGGAAGACTTAATGACCATCTTCTTCCAGTTTGTAAGAACACCAGCCACTTCTTGATTTAGTGGTTTTTCAAAGAGAAATTGCAGATGAACAAAAACACATCAGCTTAGATTTCTTTAAAGGTGGCAGTGATGGGAACATGGGTTACAACACTACAACTGCAGCGCAAATATAGTCATTTTATTTGCTATCCAAAATGACCACAAGTCTACACATCTTTTTATATGCTATATTGATTATGGTACAATAGTGGTAAATAAAAAATAAAAAAAAACCTTCAGACATGATGACATCAGTCTATAAATGAGTAAGCCATTTCGCATAATAGGTTTCTGTGACGTAGCTTTTAGAGGTATTAAATGCTGAGGTCTTCCATCATAACCACAGTGCTCAATTCTGATTCATCATGTTTCTCTGGAAAGAAACAGTTCACATCAAACTACTGTGCACGATGTTTGTATCTTAACTGGTTTAAGTACGTAGACATTTTGAAAAAGCAGTAGAATTCCTTTTAAAACATCTACAAGGATGCAATGCTTCACTTTAGTAACTATACGCTGGCAGTTTTTATGTAATATTTACCAGATTCAGTAAAACTTTGTACACTAATAAAATAAGACCTGCATCTAAGTACTATTTCCCCACCACTCTTTCTGCTTTGGTTATTCATTGTTACTGGCTAATTCTGGTTAAAACAACAAAAAAATGTTAACACGGTTTCAGTCAGTCAGCATCATTTCAGTAAGGCCCAGCTGTTCAAACTCTTACATCATTTCACATCCTCTTAAGACTGGAAATAACCAACAACAAACTCTAAACAGAAAAATACACACACACACACACACAGGCATGCACACACACACAGGCACGAGCGCATGCGCACACCCCTTCACACACATATATATTACAGCTGGAGAGAAATTTCTGCATTTCTGCAAACAATAATTGTTTATGATTTCTGGAGGACGCAGTTAATTAGAAAAGACTGTAGTTCTAAGGTGGTCTGCACAACACACAGTTTGTTGGCTTCTGCCATATCTCAAAAGGCTGAAGTATGTAAAAGAAGACTCCTTTTTATTTATTTAATTGAGCACTATGAGCATCTTGATACATCTCAGATGTTCCAAATGAGTGTTCTCTGGGTGTGTGAATGAAAAACAGCTAATTGCGTGTGATCTAACAGACAAGTCAAACAATGCAGGACGATCTTTAACAATTTCACATCAAGCGTCTGCCAATGTGCTTTTAACATATTGCAAGGCGTACTACAATATGTAGCGACACAATGGCAATATAACATTTTGTCTCTGTAGTGCAGCCCTAGTTCTGTGGCTCGCAGGTGTACGGTTTAAGATTTGTTTAGTAAGAACACTTGAAATCGAGACTAGGAATTAATGATTAACAGGTTAATTACAAAAAAAAAAATAGCAAAGTGACAGAGTGAGTGAAAGACAAGGACAAAAACATAAAAGCACTTAGGTTAAACTTGGCCCACAGAGGCTCATTGTGTGTAATATTTTGCTTACTATTGCTGGACTTCAGGTCTCGGTGGATGATAGGCACCACAGCATCTTCGTGGAGGTAGTGCATGCCTCTGGCAATCTGCACGGCCCAGTTTACCAGAATGTGCGGGGGTATCCTCCTGCCTGTGAGAGCCCGGTTGAGGGTGCCCCCTCGAGCATACTCCATCACCAGGCACAGGTTGGGCTCTTCTAAACACACTCCTTCAAGTTTGATAATGTTGGGATGCTGCAGCATGGAAAAGAGTTTGGCCTCTTGCTTTACGCTCTCTGCTGTTGCCATGATGTCTTCGTCGGGGTCCTGGCGGGCCGCCTTTACCGCCACCTCCTGCTCCTTCCAGGTGCCCCGGTACACCTTACCAAAACCTCCAACGCCAATTATCTCCTCCAGTACCAGCTCACTGAAGGGGATCTGCACGGGGGATGCAGGCACAGCCTCCCGTCGATAAACAGTAGGCTGGTATGTGACATAATTGGAGGGAAAGATGCCCACGCGGTGGTTGAGCTTGCCAGTCCACCAGCCTTCGTCCCCTGACACGGCTGCATCCTTAGACAGCACCTCCACCACGTCGCCACGCCTCAGGCTCAGTTCATCCTCACCGCTGGCTTCGTAGTCATACACTGCAGTCCACAGCGAGCGGGAGCGAGAGCACACTGGCGCAGAGTGAGGGGGCCACGGGCGGCCAGGGAGCTCACCTCGGCATCCCTCACCGCTCGGGGAAACGGCCTGGGGAACATCCATGGCTCGGGGCCCGCAGCAGAACCATAAGGTGCGCTGGAAATCAGAGCAAAATTTTAAACAAGAAGTGGGTACAAGTGGGTAATGGTTACTTTATGATAATGATACATTATTAATATCAGTAACACCAACACAGTAGCAGCATTAGTTAACTTTCTGAAATGTTTTTGCACTATAAGCTACAATATTTTAATCTCTGATGTATAGTAAATATCTAGTTCTCTTAGTTATTTCTTACTTCACTGACCAAAAAAGTGATATTACACTAAGGAGTTACTTGAGTTAAAGTTAAGACATTCATCCCACTTATTGTAACATGTAGGGAATGATGGAGGGAATGAGCCATCATATAAACAGTGTTTTCGCTCTAGTTGAACACAAGACTTAACCCATTCAACCCAGTATAAGTCTTCACTTATGATCAATGGATAAGAAGACAGTGGCTCCACTGTCCACTACCGGGCCCCCAAAAAAGGGATCATATCAACAAACACAGATTTATTCAGTAAAGCAGTAGTAGTATGAATACATACCTCACATTTAGCTTCAGGGGTGTTGAATCTCTTACTCTTTAGTGTCAATGTTCAAGTAAGAATAAAGTGAGAAATAAGTGTCCAGAGTAGGTGCCATGCCGTTACGTGCAATACCTATTTGACTAATAAGATCTTCATTAGAAAGTTGCTGGGGCAATTTAACTTTCCCTCTTATCCGCGGGTGGAAAGTGGCTCAGGTCCGATGTGGTTGTGTTTACTCATCGCTTTCTTTCCACGTAAGCCAATCTGTGACCGCAATGCGTCTATGAACCTCGGCGAACACCAGCATTAGTGCAATATTAACGTTAGCTTAGCTCACTGCCACTCTTCAAAACTGATCAACAAAGTGGACTTTCAATCATCTATTCACAAACAACGACATAACAAAGTATTGCCAGCTTTTACTGGCCCTTTTTCCAAAGTCTGAAGCCACAGAATGCTTCCCTTTGAACAGGCCACACGTAGTTTAGTCTGTTAGCTTTCAGCAACGAGGCTACAGGTGCAAACTATCGCCTACCTGCCCAAGTCCACTTGAATTTAGCTCCACAAACTGAGTAAACATAAAAGGAAAAGTGACATAACTCATTGAAACGGTTTACTTCACCAAGACAGCTGCCGCAGGTTTCCAGTTCTACACTTTCACGACGTTTGTTCAACGAAGTAAGTTCGGCTTTAGCCACGTCGTGCTACGAGTAAGGTTAGCGTTAGCTCGCCGCTCAGTAACGAACTTTCACTGAATACACTTGACGCTAGTTTGGCGAACTCCGACACCCGCGCTGCGACAACAGAAAGGTTTTTCCTCCTACGGCCGTCTCACATGAGCACGGGGTCAGTCCCTGGACTTCTAAAGTTTCGAAATGTGTGTAAGTTTTCACACGCGTTTTGGAACAAGTCTCCAAAGTCCAGTAACTCAGTAGAGCTACTGACCGCACGGAGAGAAACAGAGCGCCCGCGGATTGGACAGCTCTACTCACGTGACCTCTGCTCCTATTAGTCAAAACAAGATTGAAAACCTGATCACTGCAGAGCACCTTTATCTACAGTTTCAGTAAAAAAAATGTTCAATAGTTTAAAGACTTTAAGCAACTGTGAAGCTAATTTGTGTGTCATGTATTTCTCAGTGGATGCCTTAATATGTTCTACCAATAAATCAGGGAAACAGTACTGATGGTACAGGAATACAGAGACAGCCGCTTTGTGAAAAACTAGGCCCTTTTTTATATACCAAACATGAAGTGTAATTTTAGATTCTAAGCGCTGCTGTATTCCTCATGAAAAGGCAGTCATTAAAGTTGTTTTTCATCACTTGAGAAATATTGCTAAAATCTGGCCTTCTATATGCATTTCTTCTAAGCAGAATAAACGCCTGTTTATGTTCCAACATGTGATCTTAGATTTGACCTTCTGCAAATACGCTCTGTAAACTACCGACAAAGTGGTGATTAATCTTCTTCCACCTTTCATTCAAGCTAAGTGCACATTTTTAAGAAACACTTGAAACTCTCTTTAACTGAGCTTCTAATACAAATTCCTTCCTTTCTTTTTTTAGTATTTATCTTTATGATATCACAACACTTTGATAGCACTTTTGTTTGATCCTGGTTCACTGTTTTGCCTCAGGGCCTCATGAAAGATTGTCCTGGAAAATTTTCTGACATAGTGAAATTCATGCTACTTTCAGTGATTCTAACTTTGCCAGTTACCAATGCAATAAATAAAGACTTCTATAAATTCTCATAGGTCATATTTACTCCTCATTCTATGTGCATCAATGTCATGTTAGAAATTAATGTGTTAAAAGGGAAAAAGTATAACAAAGCATAAATCCTAAAAAAGGGAGCTGTTATGATTCATCCTTACCACTGTATTCTCAAATACTACTGTTCTGTTCAGTTTGTCATAGTAAAGGAGGACAATTTATTGCACTCAAAAGCATAAATGAACATTTAGTTATCAATGAAATCAATTACCAGAAATTTAAAATCAATAAATGCATTTGCTAAAAATACCGCAAATTGTGAAATATTTGACCTTCATCATGAAAAAAGTTAATTGTTTTAAAAAAGAAATATGCACAATTTTAACTGTGATCCAGTGTAAGAGACCCAGATTGTGCTATTTTGGTAGAGCGGCCTAAGCTGCTGAAAGTTGTCCGTCTCCTTGTAGCCAATCGTAGCGAGGGGGCGGGGCTTGTCGGAATACGGGTGGTAAAAAAACCCCCATAACGCTACTGTACCCGCACCTGCTTTCCCGCATGGCTGACTGGCTGCTGGTGTGGAAGATGCTGCTGTTGAGCAGCGCGTATTCCGCAGAACACCATTCATTTTATAATGGCCTGTAGGATCAGGAGGACGAGCAGCAAAGGTGTTTTGAAGCCCTGCGTGGTTGTTAACGTTAGCCGTGAAGATGTAACATCCCGGGGAAAGCCTCGGAGAGAGGGGTAGAGAGACTGAGGGCGGTTCGGCGGTCTTCCACAGCATGACTCGTTTTTAGCGTTAGCCTACAAAAAAACATGGGCTCACAAGTGGTACATACGCTACGACAAGGGGTGTGGGCTTCACTGACCGGGGGATGGTACCATGACCCGGACCAGAATAAATTCAACAATTCCTGCCACCTTTACCTATGGCTCTTCTTGCTGGTGTTGCCTCTGTCTCTGCATTTGGTGAGTAACGGGGACGTTAGCGTGCGTGCTCAGGTCGACGGGTGTGCGTCGTACACTGAGGTGGGACATGAAAATGAGTCAGCCGTTAGCCTCAGCTGTCATTCATCTTAAGCGATGTAGGACTAAGCCAAGGATATTTTTTAGTATATAGCTAACAGTGTGTGCTGTACTCAGTGTTCCCGGGGCCTGACCGGAGCTGCTGGACTGGCAGCAGTCTGGCATTGGCGCATTATTCCTCTGCATGCTGTGTGCAGGTGATAGATGGATGGACGGATGGTGGAGCCTAAGCTACCACTGCAGCCAGGCAGCTTTAGAGCTGAGCAGCACATGTGTTCACACTGTTCTCCCAAAGGGCATTACCAGCGAACTTGAAAAGACTTAAAGACTAAATAGAATTCATTGTTTTTTTCCTTGTTGTTTTATAACGTATTTGCTTTGCGCAGTTCTCCCAAAGGACCGTACACATACACTTGAAAAGACTTTGTTTATTTATTTATTTTGTACAGCATATTTTCGTTGCACGGTCCTCCTAAAGGGAATTACAAATACACTGTTTTTTTTTTCTTAAAGACAAACAAACTAAATAGAGTGTGCGTTTTTTATTGTTTTTAAATTTATCAATTTATTTTTTGTTTTGCATAGTTAGTAAATGAACACATACATGTATTTTTTTCTTTTCTTTCCTTTCCTTTCTTTTTTCTTCTACAGCATATTAACCCATGTCTCTAAGATGAGAGCACAAGCTCAGTGTTTTTGTGCATAAAATCTGACAGTTTATATGGTCCATTTAAATAAGCCAGTCCAGTTCAGATACACTTAACTCTTTTTAATGTTTAGCAATGCAAAAATCACGATTTGTAATACAGAAGGGCTGATTTCCTGAGCCACTTTTTGGAAGCAATACAACAGTAATTCATTAACAAATGCTTTGAAAGGTGGGCACCACTAGGCAAATCTGGTGATACTAAAACTACTACATGTCCATATTTTCTATGCCTCTACTGGACATGAACTAAAATCACACTTTTCTTTACCATATATCTGGCGTGTTTAGCTTCTAAGGTGCATTCCTTTGTATTACTAAAAAGAAAACCTAAATACAAAATATATAATCAAGACAGTTTATCTAAAGGCCCTCTTGAAAGTGCCTTCAGTTCATGTTTGTGACATTGTCTTTGGGAGTTGCTTTCCTAAGGGCACCTACTTGAACTGACGTTTCGAAGTATTGCATTTCAGATGTGTATATCTGTGTGAATGTGTTTTCTCTTCCCCCTCTTACTCAGGCTCTACCACCCACTACTTTGGCCCTCAGTATATACTGCGCCTCGGTGACAGTCTTCTTCATCCTCATTAAGATGGTGAACTATCGCCTTCATGTGATGTTTGATGAAGGCGACATTGTGGCCCGGAATAGTGTGTCTGACATCAGCAAAGGCGTAGACAAGAAAAGTAATGCCTCTGACTCCTGCCTGCCAGCCAGCCTGAGGTAAGACACAACAGTACAGCTCCTCTTGTGGGAAAAAGATCCATTATTTATTTATTTATGTATGTTTGTTTGCTCATAAATAATGAAACACCATTACTACACATGCACACAAAGACATAGCCGCCAAGATTTCTTCTTGTTGTGAATACTGCTGCTGATGAACTTCTGCTGAAAGTATGTGGACACCTGAGCATCGCATCTATATGAGCTTTTTGGACATCCCGTTTCGAAACCACAAGCATTAATGTGGAATCGCCCCCCCCCAGCCCCTCTGTAGCTATAACAGTCCTCACTCTTCTGTGAAGGTTTTCCACAAGATTTTGGAGTGTGTCTGTGGGAATTTATGCCCATTCAGAGTCAGGCACTGATGTTGGACAAGAAGGCATGGCTTGCAATCAACATTCTAGTCAATCCCAAAAGTGTTGAGTGGGATTGAGGTTAGGGCTCTGTGCAGATGGCTGGAGTTCCTCCACACCAAACTCATCAAACCATGTCTTTATGAACCTCACTTTTTGCACAGGGGGCACAATATTGCTGGAATAGCAAAGGACCTTTCCCAAACTGTTGGCACAAAGTTGGAAGCTTATGATTGTCTAAAATGTCTTTGTATGCTGTAGCATTAACATTACCCTTCACTGGAGCTAATGGGCCAAACCCAGACCCTGAAAAACAGCCCTAAACCATTATCCCTCCTCTGCCAAACATTACTGTTGACACTATGCATTCCAGTAGGTAGCATTCTCTTGGCATTCGCTAAACACAGATTTTACCATCAGACTTTTTTTTTTTACCATCAATGAAGCCTGATTCTTCAAGTCCAAGTGGCATGCTTTTCACTATTTAGCAGATGCTTGGCATTGCTCATAGTGATTTCAGGCTTGTGTGCAGCTGCTAGGCCAAAAAGAAATTGCTCCAGAGAGAGTTTGGAACTCTGTAGTGAGTGATGCAACAGAGGACAGGTGATTTTATGTGTTATGCACTTCAGCCCCACTCTGTAAGTTTGTGTGGTCTACTGCTTCGTTGCTGAGCTATTGATGTTCGGAGACTCTTCTGTTTTACAGTAATAGCACATATGGTGGACTGGGGCAGATCTAGCAGAACAGGAATTTCATGAACTGACTTTGGCAAAGATATTATCCTATGCCACATTCAAAGTTGCTGAACTCTTCAGTACGACTTATGCTACTGGAAGTGTTTCTGGAGATTGCCTGGCATGTGCTTGATTTTATACACCTGTTATGGGTCTAATGGGTGTGGCTGAAATACACAAATAATTAGAAGGGGTGTCTGCATACTTTTGGCCATATCTTTAGGCCAATCTGAAACTTCAGTTCTTTTCTTGTCTTTCTCAGTCACATTGTACATTGTTACACTTCAGGACTAACTTTTCTTTTTCAGAAAGAGCAGCACAGTGCCTGATAGTGTTGCCATGACAGTACTGACAAGAAACAGGCCAAGTCCAGTAATCCAAGTCACAGTGAAACAGACTGAAACAGACCCTGGACTGATTGGGGTTAGTGGTCTATGGTTTCATCATTCTTTGAAAGTTTTACTATTGAATATACTGTTCAATACAAGCTCTAATACAGGTCTGTGGAAAACTTTAAGCTCTGTTTGTTTTATTTATCTTGATGAAATTGCAGGAGTGCCCAAAGGATGACTCCAAGAACACAGAAGGTATGAAACAACCATATTTATAGAACTATATTTGATCAAAGTGTGTCAGCTTCTGAAAGTTCCCAATGTTTATTTTACATTTCTTCTGCAGTGAAGGCTGGTTTTACTTTCATCTGTGAAGTCTTCTAGAACATGACAAATTTCTAGCCGTTTTGAGAGGTTTTAGATCTGACATGCGTTTCTGAAATACGCTTTTGATACGCTGAAACAGAAACAGTTCTAATGAATTTATTTTTAATATAGCCCCCATTTTTTCAGCGCAGAGATGGTTTCTTGAGAGCTGTTTCTGTCTAAATGTGTGTAGCAGTAGACAGAGGAGTGAAAAAAGACTTCCATACACGCCAGTATATGTACCAAGTCAGTGTAGTGATTTGAGATTTGAGATAAGGTTGTAAGGTTTATTGTCATTTGTATTCAGAATACAGGGCACTCAGAATACCGACATTCTTATACTACAGCAGCATACTGATACAGATAAAAAGATAAAAAAGAAGTACACAGGGGGCAATAGGAAAGGAAGGTGCATACGAGAAGGGTATTGCACATACAGACTACAAGTAATAAGATATTAAAGCACTGGCACTGAACAGTACAAGTGACTGGCAGTATGGAGTGAAATGAAATATATACAGTAGACTAGCTAGTGTGGCATCCATTAATAATGTCTGGGATAGATTGGGGGGAATGTTGTGAAAATGATCAGAACTAAGTGGTTTCTTTATTTGGTAACTCAGTACAGTAATGTTGCAATATGACAAATCATATTATGAAGTTCTAGTACTATTTTTTATCTAGCTTTGCCCTGAGTTCTTTCCTAGCAATGTCCATCAATCAACCCCTTAAACTCTAGGCTTATTACTCAGTTATTATTTTAGGCCTATTATCCAGTAATTACTAGGTTACTACTCAGTAACAACAATGAAACTATTGAAAGGTCTCCTGTGTGGCTTTTGCAGGCCCAGATGACACTTCCTCTCAAAAGAGGTCCAAAGAAAGAAGAGAGGCTGAAGAGAGACTGACCCCGGAAGAGGCATTCAGCCCGAACACTGACCAGTCGGCACCTCTCTTGCAAAGAGAGCAGAGGCAGCAGACTCATCTGGATACAGCTGATGAAGGCCTGCCTCCTTCTGCTGGCAGCGAGGAGGAGAGCGATGAGGAGGCCAACAAAGAAAAAGCACCAACTGTGGACCCCAACAACAACAGCTCATCTCCAGAGCTCACCCGAGAAGATGAGGAGCAAGAGAAGCCAGAGGAGACTTACTGCTCGGACGAAATCGCTGTGGTGCTGGTGGACAACTCAGGCCCATCGGATCATCTTGACGAGAGTGACACAGTGAAGATCATCATCACCATGAGCTGTGACCCACAGACAGCGGCCGAGCTGCAGGAGTCGGTCAAGCTCAGCATCTTGGAGTCTGCTCAGTCTCACCTCGCCCAGCAGGAAGTGGCCGGGGGAGACTGTCCTGTCAAAATCCCTGTCATTACCTTTGATTCACCCCATGAAGAGGAGGAGGAGCATGAGGTAAGTGCCAAAGAAAGAAAAGAAGATGAGCCCATTCCTAGCGAGAAACATGCTCAGCAACAGTCTGTGGACCGTGAAAGCCATGATTCTAATGAGCCAATTGGATCCAATCCCACCCAGGAAGGCCAGGAAGCTTCGTCCAATGAACACGAGTTGGAGAACCCAAGTCCCCAGCTGACTTACAACAGCTCCTCTGGCATTGATGTGCGCTCCCATCCGGATGTAAACGACCCGACCGAGCTGAAGTCAGACACTGAAGGATTCCTGCAAATCCCTTCTGGTTTCGGAAGGGTCGGGCCAGGAGGAAGGACGCATGTAAGAGGACTCAGCATCGACAGCGGAAGGGATGCTGTCCTCATTGGAAATAGGTGCAAAGACAAGGCACAAACTATGACCTCCTCTAAGTCAGACCTGGAGGCCAAAGAAGGCCAGCTGCCCAATGAGTCCAACTTTGTGGAGTTTGTTTCACTATTGGAATCCATTAGCAGTACCAGGGGTGGTGGAGGGAGGCAGGCAGAGGATGGATCGAAGGAGGATGAGAAAGCCAAAAAAGATGGTAAATATTTTTTTTTCTGGGCATGGTCACCCCAGTGTGATTGGAATGTCATACCTGAGTCTTTCTTCACACATCTAGTCACAAAATTAATACATTTCATTTAATCAAAGATGTTATCTCTGCTCAGCACCGTAAAAAATTATATAATCTTATTTTGAGACCACTCCTCATGCCTGAAATTTACATTTTGTGCATCCTCACTTTGCTAAAATATCGGCATTGATCCTTCTGCTGCAATGTTTGATGAGCTGGGAGAACAGAAGGATCCAAGTATACTCCTCCTTGAATATCTCTACATTCCTCCATGAGTGTAGGTTATTAGTGGGGCTTAATTTGGGAAACTGGCAGCTACATTGTAAAGCCTGATGCTGTGGTTAGTCAGCCAGTTTTTGTAGGTCTGAAAGAATGCTTTGGTGCAGAATTATCCAAAGTCAAGTCAGCTTTAGCTCTTGCCAGTAAGGCAAATACGAGCAGTATTTCACTCCAGAATGTCCTGGTACTTTGTGAAATTTGTGATACCGTGTATCTTAAAAAAGTTTTCAAGACAGTTGGAAGCAAATCACAGCCTGCAAGCACAGAGTCACCATCATATGTCACAGTTGAGATGCTTTGTTTTATCCCTCTTTTTGTGCCAACACCACGAGGTGGCCGAAAGCTTCTGTCTAGGTCTATTCTGACTATAGCAACCATTTTCCAATAATGTTAAGCAAACTCTAGTGCTTACATTTGTTGTTTGATGAGAGTAAGCGTTCTTATGGCAAGCCTTCCTGCTTGTTGGCATGGTGCTGACATCTAATCATAACCCCAAGATGCAGCTCTGTAATTGGGGCCAAATACATATTTGCTGTTTTAAGGGCATCACATCTCCAGCTGCTTAAAATGTCTTTATTATTTCTCTTATAGTAGAATTGAGGTTTTCCAGGCATTTACCCATTGATTGATTTCTGAAGGATAACAATATTTTATTCCATGCTCTCTGGACTTCAACTTGTTGATGGAGAAGACTGAAATTGTCACCACATATTTACACATCAGTGAAACAGGAAGTGATGGATCAGGTCAAATTAAAAAATGAAATATAAATGAGAAGATTCCAGTATTATATTTAATCCATTTTGTCCTATCATTCTGAATGCTAACATTCTAAAATAAATGGGACATTTTAAGTCTTTATTCCTCTCTTTATTTCTTGACAAAGATTCTTTGAAGATGAGGATATTTTCTCTTGTTTTTTTGTTTACAGCAGTAATTATGTACAGTATTTATACTGCCTCGTTGTGGTGTAATATGAACGGATAACTGTTTGTGTTCTCTTCAGAGGAAGCTAAGGTGGCTGTGAAAATCTTAGAAAACGGAGATATGGCTGGACAGCAGGACCATCCAAACCCTCCGAACAGCCTGGCTACAGACACACTGTGCACCATTCCAGAGAAACTGATTCCTATAGTCTCTCCCGATAGGTAGGAATTATAGATTCTTAGCAGGAAAGATTTTTAACTGCTCATTTGAAGAGCTGAACAAGATACGTTATTTATATGTTACATATATGTGGACTTCTGTGTGGGGTTTTTATTGTTGCTTATTCATGGGCTTATTGACTATTTTGCTAAAATTTTCACCAGTTCCATGGCTGTAAAATTTCTCACTCTCATAGCTACATAACTTCTATTTTTGGTTTTGCACTGAATAATTTATAGTGTATCATGACTAACACATCCTAAGGTTAATAACTGAATATAGATGAGAGAGACTGATAGAAATAAACTACACAGACATAGATTCTGTTGAATATAATTGTTATTATAGGATTGTGGAGGGATGATAACACAGTAACCAGAATATGATGCATTTATATTTAGTAGTAAACAGATGAACGTGCAGACAGATCACATTAATTTATGGTTGCATTGTTTGCAGCAACAGTTTTGTTTTCATAAGACCCATGACGTGTCACAGTAAATGCATGTATTATGCAATGAATGTATTTGCCTTTAGGCAACGTACCCAGTTCACATTTTGTTTGTTGTAGCATAATAAGACTGTGAAATCTGATGTATGTGGAATAGGTTTGGAGTTAGCTTAAAAAATGGTGATCATCTCAAATAATTATGATCATATGAAATAACTGCAATTATGGAATTATGCAATAATGTGATTCATATGGTTGTGGTTGTGAGAATTTTCTCTCTACTTTTCCAGTCCTCAGACTGATAAGGAGAGGGATCCAGATTATGACTCTCTGCCCTCTCAGACCTCCCAGTCAGAAAGCTCCATGCTGCAGGTCATTTGTAGACCAGAAGCAACATCCAAAGAGGAAGCATATACCTTTCACACAGTCCACAGTAAGTGACAAGTGCTAACCAAAAAGGGTCAGTATGTGGATCCCCACTTCAGTTCCTCACTCTCAGAACTACATAACATTCATATTATTTATTTTATTAGTAGTTGATGAAATACAGGTCTTAATGTTGATAACTGAATTATAAGTCCGGAGTTCAAGAGGTTCAAAATGACAAACCTGTTGCTCTGGTGTTACTGTTTAAATGAGGAACTTAATAAGAAATATGTGACTGTTTTTCAGGGGACAGACCTCGAAAGCTGTACAATGAAAGAGCATTAAATTTACCTCTTGGAGCTGAACTCATCACAGGCAACATATGGTATGATGGAAAGCCTGGAAAGTCTCATATGTCATGGAACCCATCCTAAAATGCTAATGCTATTATTCAGTACTTAAAAGCAAAATTTGAACAGATTGAGACTGTTTTAGTAAAACAAATAACATTTAAAGTGCATATTTATTGTTATCGTTGCTCTGTTAGTGATCTTCTCTCCACATCTTCAAACTCTGAGTGCCAGGATGGGTTAGCAGGTGGGCACTCTGACTGCCCATTCCAGCGTCGCATCATTCCAGCTCACCGGCTCCGTCCCAGGCAGACCCACCCAGAGATCTTCCAGGCAAGTAGTCTCCCTTTCCAGCTTCTCTAGAGGCCATTCACTAAACAGGGTAACATAAAATAGACTGGAAGGCTGGAAAGCTAATTTTTTAACAGTTAAGACTGAAAAGCAGGTTGTCTATGATTAGACACGATATGAAATAAATTGATTTTAGTGTGGTTATATCATTTACCTGCAGGAGGAGGACTCTCTTGACGAATCCTCTGACACGACTACTCAGGAAAAGCCCTCTCGCAAACTCTACTATAAGCTCAAAGTTTTTCCTGGGAAATGGGTTAATATCTTATATGATCGGTTAACCTTGCAGGCACTACTAGACAGGTGAGAAAAAAAGCTGTTTTAGAATAACTTGCACATGTATCATCTGAAACGTAAATAAGCATTTTCATTCTTTTGCAGGAATCAGGATGTGAAGGAGAACATGGTTGCAGTGTTCTTAGCATTCCTAGTGGCTTTTCTAGGGTTTGTACTCCTGAACCAGGGCTGTTTCAAAGACTTTTGGGTTTTCCAGTTCTGCCTCGTCATTGCTAGCTGTCAGTACTCTTTACTGAAGGTAGTGTAGTTGGTGTTTTAATCTTTTTTAGTACATATCAACCTGGTGTTTCACTTTAGGCTAAAAATGCTGGTATTTTGCAGAGCGTTCAGCCTGATGCAGCTTCACCTATTCATGTGAGTTCCACAGAAACACACTGAAGAGCACTGAATATAGTGATTAGCGTGGTTCACTTGGGACTTACAACCTCTAATGGCTGTTCTTTTTTAGGGACATAATCAAATTGTTGCCTACAGTCGAGCTGCATATTTCTGCATGTTCTGTGGCCTTATTTGGATTTTGGAGTCTGTGCTGAAAAGACCAGACCTTCCTGTGTCCACCATATATGGCATTACAATTGTAATGTCAGACACCCTCCAGACTGTGCAAGATATTCTGATTGGTACGTACTATGCCAGAAGTGCAAAGCATGATACATTTACATGGTGAAGTACATTACTGTGGTAGGTAGGCAGTTGAAGGCTTAGTGCAATGGTGTGAAACTAAATGCTACTTATTGCTATTAAGAGAGGAAGATGAAGGTATTTTGGACTATGCATATGTTTGAATAGTGGTGAGTGTTTTTCATGCATATCTGATTTGTACTTTCTTTTGTTCTTTTTAGGGTTTACATACTGCTTCCCAATAAGCTTTCTTCTTGGCCTTCTCCCACAGATCAACACCTTTGTTATATACTTTTTAGAGCAAATTGACGTGCACCTTTTTGGTGGGACAGGTTTGTATCAATTTCCTAGAACTCAGTGACAGTTATACATGAAGCAAGGAAGTTGTCATGATTGTTTTTTTTTCTGCTTAGCTGCAACTGGACTCTGCTCAGCCGTCTACTGTATAGTGAGGAGTCTGGTGGTGTTAACCTTACTGTATGGATTCTGTTTTGGTGCTCTGAAGGTATGATTAAAAAAAAACTGTTTCACTCATGCATCTCCACTTGTTTGCATAATTTGAAAAAACTCCAGATACCCATTACATTGTGTTAAAATGTCATGAACAGACAAACAGAAATGATCCAAAATTTGGTTACTTACTTGTTACATTTACTTCCATTACAAGTTAAGAATGTTTCTTCCTTCTCCTGTAAAATTACCATTTTGACGACATCAGGTTTTGTTCCGACAGTGACGATATATTGTCATGAACACAAACTATATATCTGTATAAAGAATTATGAGTGTGGATAAATGCTGTTTAATGAACAATTCTCACTTCCTGGGTTTAGTGTGTATTGTAACTGCTATATAAATTTTTCCCGGTCTCAAAGAACACTCACTTTACTACTGGCTCAGGTCATAAGCATCTTTGACATGTCTGCTCTGACCATAGATCGAAATAAACGAGTGTTGCTTCATCCTGCTACTCTGCAGACCCACCGCTTTGCACAGTTTGAACTAGTCCCCTTCCCCAACTCACCTGGTCCAGCTTATCACCTGGTTATAAACCCTTCATGAGCTGGATGAGGTGTGTCTAGATCCAGCAGCTTTAGCAGTCTTACTCTGAATCAAGACCTGTTTCACCCTCCTCACATGTGGGCCTGGGCGATAGGATCATGTACTCAGATTTCAGCAATGACTCACATGAAACCCAGTGATGATGCTTTAGAGGTGATAATCACCGTGTTGGGAAAGAAGACTGATAGAGAACTAGAGTGGACCAATTTAATTTTAAACAGCCTGCCAAATTAAATTAAATAATATGTACATGTAATGTTTTATTCGCTTTCTGGATTATTACGCTGCATTAGTAAGTATTAGGCAACAGTACAGTACATTTTAAACTGTCTCTAACACAGGTTTCCCTGACTGTGACATACCGTCTGAAGAAAACCCACATAATCTGAGAATCATGTGCATATGGGTTTGGAAGTCACTCACTTGTGCACATTTAACAGTCTAGCCATGTTGCTGATCTGCAAAGTTTAGCAAAAGTTTTAATCCTAATTGAATATACCCCTGACTGAATTCCGTTAAAAGTGTTAGGGATCTGTTTTTGCTATTTTACATAAGTTTACACAACATAAGTATTTAAATGTAATTACATGATTACATAAAGGAATTATATTCTTAGTACACTTACATATGACTTACTTTCTGTATTACAAGATTTGAGTTTAGTTTTTTATGATTTACATGGCAAAATGTAAAGACATTTCAGCATGGTCTGCATGCACACCAATAAATTGTTCATCTCCAAAATCTTAAAACCTCAGGAACCATGGGATGAGCAACACATCCCAGCTCTGTTTTCTGGGTTTTGTGCCCTGCTGGTGGTCCTGTCATACCATCTGAGTCGACAAAGCAGCGACCCCTCAATACTATTGTAAGCAAGTTTTGTATGAGTATTGTGGTTTACCGGCATTCAGACTTGATTATTATCTAGAATCTGATATTTCACCTTCATTTAAAATGCTGATTTTTTTTCTGTCACTGTCTCAGCTCTTTGATTAAGTCCAAACTGATGCCAGCACTGGGGGACGGTGAGGTGGAGGAAGTGGATACAGATAATGTGGACCCTCTTCCAGAAAAGCTCAAAAGCTCAGTGGTGAGGACCACTGCTGGTAATGTAGTGCAGACACAGCGTGGCTGATAAGACCATTTGGAATAATTTACATAAAACTCAGTAAATGGAACTTACACTGCTAATTTTTCTTTCACAGAAAGAGATTTTGCTCTCAGATCTGGTTGTCTGCAGTGTTGCGTCAGTTTTGACTTTTGCTGTTACTGCCAGTACAGTCTTCCTCTCTTTAAGGGTGAGTTTCTCTGATTTCAAAATATTGACTTTGATGTTTCTTACGTAAATAATAAACGCATGTTCTAAAACATGCCAGGAGACACCATGTCATGGTGTACTTGTATTCAGAGAGCATCATGTTCTCATGATGTCATAAAAATATGGTGCCTGTGAGATTGGGTTGAATTTTCTGAGTGCTACTAAAAATTTAAATATATTTCCCTGTGTTTTAAACACAGCCCTTTGTCACCATAGTGCTGTATGCCCTGGCAGCGACTGTGGGATTTGTTACCCACTATCTGATCCCTCAGCTGCGGAAACATCATCCCTGGCTGTGGATCTCTCATCCTGTACTTAAGAGTAAGGAGTACTCCCAGTTTGAACCCACAGGTGAGTGCTGTCTGTTGCAGTATGAATCACCCTCTAACGTTCTGTAACCTGTCACATAATGTAGTATACTTTGACAGGCTTACGGTGCACTTGTGATTTTTAATTTCTCTTGTACAAGTGAGTCAAAGAATTTCATGTTCTGCTAATTTGTTACTTGTTAATCTTTACCATGCCGAGTTTGTGTGTCTGCATTTTATAACCAGCGCCGTTGCTTAAAGAAAAAAATGCCTGACTGTGTGTCTCTTTTGGCTGGTTTTCAGAGGATGCTCAGTTGATGTGGTTTGAGCGGCTCTATGTTGGACTTTTGAGCTTTGAGAAGTACATTGTGTACCCTGCAATCATCCTCAGTGCTCTTACCAATGACGGCTTTGCCCTCAGCCACAGGAAAAAGCTGGGTATACAGTAAGTATCTGGACAGAAGTAGACCGTATATCTCCTCAGTTAAATTAGATCAGAATCAGTTTTACTGGATAAGCAAGGTATTAATTATAAGGAAATTGTCTTGGCTATAGCTCCCATTAGACAGAAATAATAAAGTAATCAATAAAGTAAAGAAAAAAAAGCTTAAACACAGAACTTCTAATAAGGAAGTTAGTCCTGTACTGTGAAATGACAAGACCTATTAGAATAACAATGGCAGATTTTGCCTTAGTCATCATCCGAGCAAAAGAACTAACCTTTATGGGTCTATTACAACACAATGCATAAGGCAATTAACCTAAAACAAGACTTCTTTGTTAAGAACAGCTTGCAGAACAACTGTAATGACTGAAAACCCAATTTCAAAAACGTTGGGACAGTACAAAAAAACAGTGTTTGATGTTTACCCTTTGTTTTTTTTCTTGCTGTTATCATGTTGAAAAAGCATGGACATCCCTGAAAAAGTATATATAAAATGTATATATCTTTCAGGATGAATGGTGCTTTCACAGATGTCCAAGTTACCCTATAACATACCCCAAGACCCTGACTTTTGAAATTTACGCTGGTAAAAATCTTGATAGTTCTTTACTGCTTTGGCCCAGTGGACAGTGCGTCCATTATTTCCATAGACAACCTAAAAGGTTGACGCATCAGACCACAAAACATGTTTCCACTGTGCCTCAGTCAGATGAACTCAAGCCCAGAGAAGTCAGCAGCATTTCTGGTTGTTGTTGACATATGGCTTCCACTGTGCATAGTATAGTCTTAGCTTGCATTTGTGCATGCAGTGATGAACAATTTATTGACAATGGTTTGTCAAAGAATTCCAGAGCCCATGTGGTGATATCCATACCAGAGGTCTTGTTTTTTTAATGCAATGCTGTCTAAAGGATCGAAGTTCATGGGAATTCAGTTGTGGTTTTCGGTCTACACACAGAAATTCCCTGAATTTCTTGATGAAATTATGAATTGAGGATGGTGAAATACGTTAAATATTATTGCAATTGTAACGAACGTTGTTCTCAAACTGTTGCATTATTTGCTGATGCATTTTTTGCAAAGTGACAAACCTTGATCCATCTTTGCTCATAAAGGACTGTTTTTGTTTGAAGATTACCTACTGTCCCAACTTTTTTGGAGTTGGGTTTGAATTTAACAGAGCATTAGATCCCTTTATTTATGATGCCTATGACTGAATAGAGGTGATAAAAAAATCTGAAATTGAATTAGTAAATATCTGAGGCTCATTCGTGATTTCTGTTATTTATATGGGTATTACTCAAAGGCAGATAATAATTGTAGTGCCATTATAGACTGTTTGTTAGCTTCAAGCTGGATTTTCACTGGACAGTTTGCATCCTTGTTATCGCTGTCGCAGGTACAGCAGTACTACTGCTAGCAGTCTTTAGCGGTAGCTCTTGTGTCAGAGGCTCCCCTCCCCTCCTGATTCCTCTGTGCTTTGCTTGGCTGTGTCTTGCCCCTACACCTGAGTGGCTCAGGTGTCTGTGTCTCGCTCCAGCTGTGATGTCTTGTTGATGACAGTTGCTGGGATGAAGCTTCTGCGCACTTCCTTCTGCAATCCCAGCTACCAGTTCCTCACGCTCATCTTCACCATCATCTTCTTTGAGTTCGACTACAGCAGCGCATCCGAAACCTTCTTGCTCAACTTCTTCCTCATGTCCATAGTCTTCCACAAGGTGAGTTCCACCAGCACAGATAGTACATTTATCCAGCACAGGCATTAAGTGTAAAGCTAAAGGGTAATGGCTACTATAGGCCTGTAATATAATTTAATTACATTTTGTTACCATTATATATAAATAATAACGTAAAAGATGACATAAATAAAAAAGTTTAGCAAAAAAGTGTAGTTATAATTAGTATAGTTCCAGCTGATGCAATTAACATAAATGTTCAATATTATTAATTTCTCTTGGAAAAACAGTTAACAGGCCTTTTAGACAAAGCCACCCTTGAAACTTTATTTTTCATTTTTTTGTAGAGTAGTAGTTGACTTCATGCCATAAATGTTACTGTGTATATTAGATCAGCAATATCTTTTGTTGCCAAGTAGTAGACTGTGATCATATTCATCCACTTTTACTGCAGAGTCAGCTCAGAATGTGTGTAATAGCTGAACCCAAAATAACAGTGTTCATTGTACTGCAGTGAGTCACACTGAATTTTTGTTTTTGTTCCAGCTCTGGGATCTTCTCCACAAACTACACTTCATTATGGTGTATATAGCTCCCTGGCAGATAGCATGGGGGAGTGCATTTCACGCCTTTGCCCAACCCTTTGCTGTCCCACGTATCTTTACTGTCGGTTCAGCTGTGATTGCTCATACTCTACAACAATTACTAATTTATTACTTTGAAATAAATAACCCCTTAAACTTCAAAGGCTGCATGTAGGCCCACACTTCAATTCCCCACTCTCATAACTATGTATTTTACTTATTAGTTTCATAGTGGTTTCTGAATAACATATAGTAGTTACTGTATAACTGAACAATATGCCTGTAGTTTAATGGGCTAACCTTGGAAGCTGAAGCATTACTTTTAATTTTGCTATACTAATCAAATGTATTTATGAAATTATATATTTAAAAGGGGAATGATTTACTGATTCATTTTCAGAATTGCTGCACAATTCAGTAATTAAGATGTAAACAAGAGTTATTCAGAGTAGTTGGATGTTAAATGGTGTGATGTAGAGAAACTTATTGACTCAAATTTCTTCACACCTGGGGAACCAGGTGTAGCAGTGTCTACAGCACAAATACAGCCATTTTATTTACTATCCAAAACCACCAGTCAACCTACACATATCATCTAAGTTTTATATGTAATATTGATGATGGTAAAATAGTGATTAATCTGAAAAAATAAGTTTTCTTTGGCCACTACTATGCCTTACAACACCCTGCATGTAACGCTTAACCGCCATGAAAGCTTATCTCAAAACTGTTGTAAAACACTGTCTCAGGAATTGAGCAATGTATTTGTTATCATTTTATGTAATAACATTCTGTGAGGTACTTTTAGAGGCAGATGTCTGGTTCCTATCACCAACACTGTAAACCACTGTGACTGAGTAAGTTTCTCTGGATTGTGCATTTCACCTCAAAGTACTCTGAATGACTTTATTTACATGTGAAAGATTTAACTATTATATTATGCAGAAATTTAGAAAAATTGTCAGAATTCTCCTTTAACTACATAGTGAGTTACTTTTTCCCATTTGTTTCATTGTCAAGAAGTGACAGAAATGTCGCAAGAATGTAAAGAATGTTTTTTCTTTTCTCCAAAACTAAAACTGCACAACAATAACTTTTCATCAAATTCAAATTATAACAAAATTTCTGTGCCTTTAAATACAAATCCAACTTGGTACTCATTGAATGTTACCAACAAAATTTCAATGAGCTACAAGTGAGAAATAATTCATATCGAATGACATCAAGCCTCTGCTACTGCTGGTGACTTTTAAAGGCTTAAGCCTATAGTAATATAGGAAGCTTATAGAAATAGAATACAGGAGCATTATAATAATAGTAATAATACCGTAATTGCATTTTATTATATACATATATATATATATATATATATATATTTATTTATTTATTTATATATAGCTTTGTGTGTAAATGTGCAGACAACCTTTTACAGATAGAAGGGTCTGTATTTTTCTGTTTTTTCACTCAGCACTGATGACTTCAAACAGTTGCAAAAACAAACTGTCGAGCTAGTTTGTGTTTAATGTGAGACCAAATATTCTCTATATTAAATCTGGACTCTGACCAGGCCAGAACTATCAGTGAAAACTTTTTTGCCCAGTAGCATATATATAATAATATTTTGCTTACAATATTAGTTATTTTAGAAGGTGCTCAGATCATTAGCATCGTTCTTCCTCATTACCTCTTTCACATTAGTGGAGAAGTTTTGTTTCTCCTTAACGGAGGAGTTCAGATTCCGCCATGCTGCTGCTACAGACGTTAATCACCACACTATTCTACACCCCACTGAGCCCATTCCTGGGCAGTGCTATCTTCATCACCTCATACCCACGGCCCGTCAAGTTCTGGGAGAGGAACTACAAGTAAGAGTCTCTGCAAGCAAGGGTCATGAAATATGCATGCGCTCTTTGCAGAATTATGTCTTTTAGCTTGCTGTGTACTCGAGTGACAGTGCTGAGGCCTCTAGAAACCTTTTTTTCATGCTTTGTAAATGGCTGGTTTGATGTAGTGGTTTTATATAGATACAAGCTTGTAGGATGTTCCTGGGGTACACCTGGGATTCTGTGTCTGGGTCTGTAATTAAATGTTGATTAAGTTATTTCCAGCAGTGATGTCATACAGCAGAGTGGCACAGTCTAAGCCAGACACTTGCCTATGACTTATTGATGTAGGTTGCAGCTGTAAATGGGAGGATTTGAGATAATAGTGTTGCCTATTTAAATTGAATGTTCTTTTTAGGTGAATTGTAACTGTTTGACATTGCTGTGGTGAAACTCCACCTTTTCTCTCATTTTCAGCACAAAGAGAATTGACAACTCCAACAGCAGACTGGTGTCTCAGGTTGACAAAGAGACTGGTGAATAACTTCTCAGTGTTTGATTAGTTTCATGCTTAATGCCTGGTCTGATATTCGAGATTTCTTTCAAAAATATGACAGGACATTGTGCTTCCTCCAGGTTGTGATGATAACAATCTGAACTCCATCTTCTATGAGTACCTGACGCGGTCACTGCAGCACTCTCTTTGTGGGGATCTGCTGCTGGGTCGCTGGGGGAACTTTAGCATGGGGGACTGCTTCATCCTGGCCTCAGACTACCTCAATGCCCTTGTACACATCATCGAGGTGGGCAACGGCCTTGTCACTTTCCAGCTGAGGGGCCTGGAGTTCAGGGGTAAGGTCTGTTTTTCACACAAAGCAAACTGTAGTGTTTGAACCACTCTGTTCAGTCCCAAAGTTACAATTTCCTTTCAGCAGACGTCCTTTTGGAAGTCAAGGCAGCTGGTACGGAGACACTTTCTGTAATCTGTTTGTTTTGTAAAGTCACCTCTGGATGTTTCTCTCCATCTCTCTCTGTCAGGTACATACTGTCAGCAGAGGGAGGTAGAAGCCATCACTGAAGGAGTGGAGGAGGATGATGGCTGCTGCTGCTGTGAGCCAGGTCACCTGCCTCACCTGCTCTCCTGCAACGCTGCCTTCAACCTGCGCTGGCTGGCCTGGGAGGTCACCACCACAAAATACCTCCTGGAGGGCTACAGCATCAGTGAAAACAATGCTGCCACCATGCTGCAGGTTTATGACCTACGCAAGCTGTTGATCACTTACTACCTGAAGGTATTGTGTCAAGACTGTGCAAAGCTCCATCAACACAAGTGCACACAACACTTGTGAAGGTGGCTTCTTTAAAAGATCTAAAATATTTCTTTTGTGGTCACTTCCTGATTCCGTACGTGTTATTTCAGTTTTTATGTCTTCACTGTGATTCTAAAATGTGGAAAATAGTTAAAAAGGAAATTCTTCATGAGAAGATTTGCAGAGACCTCCATGGCTTTAGGGACTGTATGTCACAGTATACAGTAACACTTTACAATAGGACTATGTATAAAGGGTCCATGCATGAGTTAATAATAGTTTATTAATGGTTATTAATTAGGTCATGAATACCTTATTAATAAGCAGTTACAACGCACAAATAAAAAGTGCTATATCTGATGAACATGTGATGAAGATGAATATGAAGAAGAAGAGGACAAATAAAGATAAGTAACCAGCAAGCCATGAGGTTTAATAGTGTAGATGAATGTGGGCTCACGATTTGGGAAGCAACAGGTCACTGTTGCCCTTTTTTGTGAACTAATGAATGACCATTTAAACCATTCATCAACACTTTATAACTGTAGTCTTATTGTAACATGTTACCTAGTTTACAATAGTACAGTGGCTTGACTAGTGAAATATAGAGATGCCATGCAAGGATTTTCCCTGTCAATATAGTAACTGTTTTCTTGCGTTAGCTTCTGACTTCCTCACTTCTAGCACACCACTGAACCTCTTTGTCTTCCATTATTTCTGTCTTCAGAGTATTATCTACTATCTGGTGATCAACCCAAAGCTGCAGACATGGCTTAAAGAGCAGTCTATGCAGGAGGCCCTGCAGCCCTACAGTAAATGGCACCACATAGAGAGGGACCCAGCTGTGTTCAGTGTGAAGATTGACGAAGACTACGTTCACTGCCTGCAGGGAGTCACCAGGGCCAGCTACTGCAACGTCTATCTAGAGTGGATCCAATACTGTGCCAGCAAAATGGAGGAAGTGAGAGAATCTTATTTATTTCCTTTTTTATTTTATTTCATGTTTTATTTATACTTAGTAATGTTTATACGTCTTCTACAAAAAAAGGACTTTGTATGTTATAAATCAGGAATGCTTATAACTGTAGCTTGTGAAAGGTACAGTATTTTTCTGTGTAGCACTGCTGGTAAATTCAGTTGTTGTAAATGATCAAATATTGTAGTTTGGCAAAGTATCTTAAGTAAAAATATGTTTGATATGTGTTATCCTGATTATACGGGCTTTGAAATATTTACACTTTTTTGTGGCAAAGACTCTTAATGGCCACCTGCTGCATGCAATGAAGTGAATGAGCTGTTCTTTGTCCTCAGCCAGTGGACAGTGATGAGGATTCTCCTCTGGTCACTCTTTGTTTTGCTCTGTCTGTGCTGGGCAGGCGGGCACTAGGCACAGCATCGCATAACATGTCGAACAGGTGAATTCTTGATGCTTTAGTACAGAAAACTTTTAACTGCCTAGTTTATCTGAGAGGTTGAACATGCAGATTTGTACAGTAAAATCACTGCACTATTATAGAGGAGTAGTAATGAAACGGCACCATCAGCATATCGTTTTCTCTCACAGTGGTTTTCTTTTTAGCTTGGAATCCTTCCTGTATGGATTTAACACATTGTTTAAGGGAGATTTCCGCATCGCGAGCAAGGATGAGTGGGTTTTTGCTGATATGGATCTCCTGCAGAAGGTGGTAGCGCCTGCGGTTCGGATGAGTCTGAAGCTTCATCAGGTAAAAAACTGCTTACTGAGTGTTGAAAAAATGTGTGTAATGTAGTCCTAAGAGGGAAGGGGAGAGGAAAATGAAAGGCATGACAGCAGCCAAAACTGGTAATCAAACATTTTTCCACATAGATGCAATGCATTACTAGAGGTCTTATACTTCAGATTCACAAACACTGCTAGTTGGATTGATACTGGCACAAGTGAAAAATTGTATATTCGCTAATTGATTCGCTAATGATAATTATTTATCAGCCACACCTAATAAACCTGATTAAGTGAATGATAGAAACAAGCTGAGTTTGTAAAAACTTCCTATATCATCTGTGTAGAGTCTGTATTACTCTATAGACTGTGTTTTTTGTAATGCATTTATTCTAAATTTCTAATAGAAAGTTCAGTAATATCCATCCATATAATCTCCGTGCCCATATTAATTATAGGACCACTTCACGAGCCTGGAGGAGACGGAGGAGCCAGCTGTGTTGCATGAGGCCATCAGCACGTACAGAAGCAGTCTGGTAATCTGTGACGAGAGTGACCCCGCGTGGCGCAGAGCGGTACTGTCCAGCCGGGACACCCTACTCACTCTGCGCCACATGGTGGACGACGGCACTGACGAGTACAAAATCATCATGCTTTACAAACGCTACCTCAGCTTTAAAGTCATCAAGGTAAGGCCATGAGCAGCTTCTGTCTGTGCTTCTGTTGATAGACTGTAGCATTAGATTAAGGTTTAAACATACAATGCTTATCCTCCAGGACCACACACTGCAAAAGTTTATTTAAAGGCAGCATAATAGATTATTGAAAGTCTGGCTGTTTAGCTGTCAGATAGCACAATTAGCTGCACTCTCATTAGATAGGAAAAATGTGTTCCTCTTAAAGTAAGAGATGCACCAAATAGCACCTGTAATGCATGTGTATTAGGATTCCAGTCAGAGTCCTTTAATATTAGAGTCCAATCCAATATTTGTTTTTTCTGATCGATACAGCCACAAAGGTTACACTTCCAGCACATTAGTTTGTAAAACCACTAAAACAAATCTATTTAGGCAGATAAGCTGCTAATTATTTTAAAATGCCATAGTGGTATCACATAATGTTTAGTATGTGCATAATGTGGCATACTCTGAACTGATAACACTGTTTTTGTCTACATTTTTAGAAATAACCATTCTATGGTGTCTTGAACATTCTGTTTCAAGTTTGCATGAGTTTATCCTTTTTCTTGGCTTTGAATGCACTGTTACTCTTTCCACTGAATGTGTACTCGCAGGGAAACATAAGCATTACAGATAATTACAAGTAGCGGTTGTGCTGTTTTCCTTTCTCCTCTTTAAAACTGTTCCATGCTGCAGACATTTAAACTGCTTGTTATCTTCTGAAGACCAATGGCATGTCCAGAGAGTTTCTAGTGAGGGGGCCCCAGTGGAGCACAGAAGCCGACCATGACTAAAAATAATTGTAAAAAGTTATAGAGCACAAATCATCTTTATATCATTTAAGGAAGAAGCATACAAAATATTTATAGTATTTACAGGAAATAGCTTTTGTAAATAACCTATCACTTAAAACAATGTGTAAAATCTTTTTTAAATGATTTCCTTTTGGTCCTGGCTGTGCTGAAGTGCCTTGGCTGAGCCCATCACAAAGCTATAGATGAGCTATGTTATTTATTAGATATAGTTTAGATGTGCTATTTGTTTGGTTAAATGTCAGAATTACATTTAAGTTATGGAGACCAATTGTGTGCCTTGCAGTGAGTGTAGTCTTCTGTTCTTCTGAGTTTTTCTTTTTTGCGAGTTTTTGTTTTTGCTGTTTGAAGCAGGTATCGTTCACTAGAAGCACTCACACTCCTGGAGCATTTTCATTCACATTAACACAGCTTCTCAGAACCCTGCAGACCATGTCTCACCACTCCTGGTAGAGGCATTTGAAGATAAACACATGCATAGAATCGAAATTAGGAATAATAAGAACACAGCCGATACCCAAGCCTAATCAGGACTGATAACCTAATAACAGAACACCCAGCTTCAGTGGTAAACATTTTTTCGTGGTGGTCTAGTCTAACGTGTAAGGAAGTTGGTGCTATCCTCTAGACGTGCCACTGCTGAAAACGTTGCATTGCTGCAAGTTGTGAATGTCTTTTAATGTGACCTATATAGCAGAGGTGCAAACAGAGTGCAATGCCTTAGTAAAGGATCAAAATTGCGTCTGGCTTAATTACCTGTCCTCATGATTCCTCAGATCAATAAAGAGTGTGTGCGGGGCCTTTGGGCCGGGCAGCAGCAGGAACTGATCTTCCTGCGCAACCGCAACCCGGAGCGCGGAAGCATCCAGAACTCCAAACAGGCTCTGCGCAACATGATCAACTCGTCTTGTGACCAGCCGCTGGGCTACCCCATGTACGTCTCTCCTCTCACCACATCCTATATGGGCACACACAAACAGATGAGGAATATCTGGGGTGGCCCGCTCAGCCTGGAGAGCATCCGTACCTGGCTATTCTCCAGGTGGCTCCGGTGGGTATGAGCTGGGTTATATGATCTAAATCTCAGAAAACTCAGCTTCACTTATTCTTTTCTTTGACTTTTTTTTCCTTTTTCCTCAGTGTAAGGAAGGACAACCTGACTAGCTGCAACAGTGGAGTGAATATGGAGGATGTGGACTGTGCCGGATCCTCCGTCAGTCAAAACCATAACTCCATCACCTCCCAAAGCGTTAGCATGCACCAGGGCCGGCCGCGGAGCTCACAGACCAGGCACCACAGCACAGGTCCGGTTTGAAATCACTGTTTTCAATAATATACGTCCAGTTTTTTTTTTACTGTGTTATGTAATATTAATAGGATTCTGACTTACATAAAATGATTTAAATCTGAGGCATGTAATTTGAACATGAAATTACTATACAGTTCTATGCACACATTTGGGCAGTGTGGCCAAATGACTTTGATTTTTGAAGTGAAAAGAAGTAAACATATCCTTTGCAACAAACTACTTTCTGCAAAATGTTAGTGCACTTTATGTTTGATTGACTTAACAAACAGAAATTGGACACACTTTCAGCTGTAAGGTCTCAGTGCTTATTTAACTCATAAGGCCTTAATTGACTGGTTAGGACTGGGTAGGCAGGTCAAAACTTGTCATCAGATAGCAGTTGTCAGCTGATAACAATTCCAGGGTGTATTAAAAATCTCTGACACTTCAAAACTTGTGATAACATTCAGCAACCATGGGTTCCTCACTGAGGATCTGAAAAGTAGTAGTGGATGCCAACAAAGCAGAGGAGGCTATAAAAAGATATCAGAGCATTTCCAGCTCAGAATTTCCACTGTCTAAAATGTGAGCAAGAAATGGCAATGAAGGGGAATTATATACAGTGCTGTGAAAAAGTATTTGCCTCTTTCTTATATTCTTGCATATTTGTCACACTCGAATGTTTCATCATCAAACTACTTCTAATATTAGACAATGATAACCTAAGTAAACACAAAATGCTTTTTTTAAATGATGATTTTATTTATTAAAGGAGAAATGCTGTTCAGCCCTACCTGGCCCTACGTGAAAAAAGTATTTGCCCCCTTAGCTACTAAATCAAGTAGTTAACCAAATTCAATTGACTGTTAGGTTCAATTTCACTGATCATGTAAAAGCTGCATTTTGTGTTTACTCGTGTTGTCTTTATCTTATATTAAAATTAGTTAAATGATCTAAAACATTTAAGTGTGACAAATTAACAAAAATAGGAGACTCTTAGCTTGCTACAAAGGGCGTTTGCAAGCTGTGAGATTTGCCAAAGGAGGTGTTACTAAGTACTGACTTAGCAGGATTCCCAAACTTGCCACAATTAGTGTTTTTTTCTGTTTTACACTAATTGAATATAATGTAACTATTCAGCAACATTTTGAAACAGTTTGCTGCAGAGATTGTGTTTACTTATTTTCATATAATAATCAATAAAATATCTTTGTCATTTGGACAAAAATTTGCATACAACTGTATGTAGATTACATTACATTGTTAATTATATAATTAATAGTTATTCCCAACAACTTGAAACATTAAATAAAACATCAAAAATGCTTTCTGGTGTCTATAATAAATTTACATTGTATATGCTATTATTCAGTAATACAACAATTATTAATTATATATCAATTATTAATATTTTTTTTTAAATATTTGACAGTACGATTGTGGACAATACGAGCCCAGCAAATACACACACCACATGTTTTAAAATAAAATCGTATAACTAGAGAAAGCTTGCAAAAGACTTCACAGTCTGTTGTGCCCCTTCTCCCCCTGCAGGCCGGCGGGAGTACCGTAGTCGTTCAGTTCAGCCTCAGGCCCAGCGGCCCCCTGTCACCAGCCGCTCTGGGCCCATCCTGGACAGCCAGCAGGGCTCAGGCTCGGGGGGGCCTGGGCTGATGCAGCGCCTTTCCAACAGTCAGCTGTCCTTCAACACCTCCTCCATCGCCTCCGTCTTCTCACAGGTTCCCCGTCTGTCCACAGCGGGTCCTCTGCCCACAGGTCAGCAGCGCTCCAGCCAAGCCTCGTCCTCCAGCTCCACACTAAGCCTGCTGTTCGGCAAGCGCAGCTTCTCCAGCGGTCTGGTCATCTCTGGCCTATCCGCCGCTGAGGGAGGCAACACCAGTGACACGCAATCCTCCAGCTCCGTCAACATTGCACTGGGACCGTCCGTCCGCTCCACGAGCAGAGCCACACAGGTGCAGTGCAGGGACGCATATTCAGGCTTATTGTGATATGGATTACCCATAAGCATTAAAGAATGGATAGTCAGTTAACCATAGAGAAGAGAAAAAGGACTTTGGTCAGTATTATTATATATTTATTTATTTTTAGTGATGCAACTAGTGTGGTCCTCGAATCGGGTCTTTAGATCGTAAACTAGCGCGGTATTCAATAATAATTCAGCTTCCAGTTACCTCAAATAGAGGCACTGCACTGATTTCGATCTCATTTGGACTCTTGACCAGAAAATCTTCTGCTGATTTAATCGATCATATCATTTTTTTCTAACTCACCAAGCTTAGCTGATTTGGCAGCCACAGAGTGTTGGATGCCAGGCTGAAGAGAGGAAAGCTGAGGAGTTCTGGCTTTATTCGACATGTTTAGATACCTATTAGATATTGTCTCCAAGTGACAGCGTAAATTGAAATTTACACTACGTATTCACTGCTGTATTTCCTTCATTTTGGCTATGGTTGCACTGAAAATATAAACATCTATCTATCTAGCTATCTAGCATTTTGCCAGAACAATCAGTGAGCAAGATATAATGTTTTATTTTTGCAAAAATTAGCATGCCATATTTAAAAATATGTTTGGTTAAATGTTTATATTGTACCAAATGAATGCATTAAAAAAATGCAGTACCGCTACGACCCACTGGGGGGATGCAGCCCACAGGTTACATGTTTAAATAAGATCTGTTGTAAGGATCTAATTGCCGCTCTCCAGGATGGCTGAAGTGAGTATTATTTGTTAGTTGATGTTCATTGGCTCCAAAGTTTAAACATCCCCTGTGAGCAGATCAGAATGTTATTGTTACTATGTTTTCATTTAATAATAAAAATGGATGTCGTTTAGTTTATGCTCATTGTGATTTTAGGTGGTGATTTTGAATATGTTCTAAAGAAGGAAGGAACAGAGAATACTCTCACCATTGCTTCCAAGACTATAATATAATAATAATTAATAATGTTTTAAGCTATATAGTACTTAATCATCTTTTTATTTAAATCTTAATCTGGTCTTCGTCTTCTCTCTGTCTCAGCCACTCCTGGTCCTAGTCCTAGTCCTTGACTAGGACTTGACTGAGACTCGGCTCTAGCGGTCTTGTCTACAACACTAGATGCAACATAACAACAATGTGAATATTTCAGCATTTGAATGCTGGCATCTGCAACAGTTAACTGAGTATTTGATTACTCAAGCACACCCTTAGCACAGCTAGAGAACCACATTATTACAGCATTATCAGCCAATAAGAGTGTGATGACTTATCAGACTTACAGTAGTATAGAATGCAGTACTTATTAACTTTATGTGCTTTCATTTGTTCTTACCAGTGGACATCGGAAGCCTATGAGAGTATAGATGCCACCTCCACAGCAGCCACAGGGCCCAAGGACAACACAGCGTCAGGTGATAAAGCCTGCGAACAGAGCATGGACAAGAGCCAGGAGGAGTCCAACTCAGCCTTCCAAGAGCCACCAGAGCAGTAAACCATCTGAGATTTCCACCCCCTGCCTAACAAGACATATTCAAACTAAAACACAGGTTTCCCATTATAGGGAAACATATTGTGGGACAGAGAAAGCTCGGGCTGTGGGCAAACGCTTGTACTGCCATACTGGCTTTTTTGCCATTAACATTTCAGTATTCTTGGTTAAATATGACTAAAGCACTCATTAGTTTTCAAAAAAAAACCTGTTCACTTAAAATGCCTGTGCCACCCACTAATTTGGGGCACAGTGCTTTGCCCCACATTACTGTGCTAATATTTCTGAATAGATGAATGAATGAAAACAGCGCATGGACTGGTGCTGAGGTCATTTCCAACACACTGGTCTGAATCTAGTTTGTTAAAGCTCAATACTGAGAGTAATCGGTAGACAGTATGAGCTTTCGCCTGTGGTCAGTGTGCTCAGTAACGGTGAGGTCCATCAGTAGTGAACTTCAAAGAAAGGCACTGAATCCCTATTTAAGCATGTAGCCTCTTTTTGCAAAATAAATGAATAAACAAGCAAACAAGTAAAATATGTGCCAAGGCACTTAAATTAGCCAAACATGGATAAGTGTTAGGGGTGTATAAAGGTAGGAAGAGGAGTGTTGGCTAGGCACTCTTAAAAGCCCTATCTGAGCTGAACAGTTTTATCCGGGGAAGTTCTGTATTTTAAGTGCTTACCGATGAGATCGCTGAGTTTATTCCAGAATGAGTCTGCAGTGTTTGTAGTGATTACAGTCCCACAGTGATAAATGTAGCGTGAATGGCCTTCTGAATGTGGAGTTCCCTCATCCGATAGCAGTCGACCTCACATTGATGTAATAAAACCTGCTAAGAGATGTGGCTGTGAGCCGTGCTGTTATTGTTATTGAACATCCTCCGGTAAAATGAATGTAGCTCCAATAGTGCTGAAGTCTGTTCCAATAATGGTCCCTCTCTCTAATGATGCACTGCACAGGACAACCAATGCAAAAAATAAGTATGATCTCTTGCAAAAAAACATCATCCTTTGTTTTACAAAGGAATGGCAAAAGCATCATAGTAGGTATCGCTGCTTTAGACAAGGCCTCAACATCATCGCCACTGTGTCACCATTTAGTATTTGTGTGTTAGCGCTATTTGTTTGGTTCTTGAGGCATGAACACAACACAAAGACATTTTCTTCAAGTGAGCAGTATAATTGCACATGTTAATGAGCATAAAAAGTGTCTGATTGACAAAAAAAAAAAAAAACCTTGTCTTCAGTCATCGTCATTTACCCACAAGTGCTTCACTTAGACCCAAGAAAACATTTATGTGCTTTCTTCATTAGGAGACTCAGTGGCCTTTTATGTGGCGTCCTTCAGAAATGGATGAACTGAGTGTAATATAAAGTTAATGTCATGTTTTCGAGGTCAATGAAAAGTTCCACATCAGTTTGGCAGTACGCAGTTTTGTCCCTTTCAGAAAGTTGCTTTAATAGGTTTTTCTCCCTCGTGTTCTTTGTTCATTCATTCAGCATCTGTTTGGTTTATGTATTATTTGTAATCTATTTTTTCCCCATTTATTTGTTTATTTATTTATTTATTTATGTTTCAGTTTTTTCAGTGATGCTATGGCTAAAGTGTGAATAGTACCTCGCAAACAGAAGACCTCATCTAATGTGAATATGTGATGGAATGGGTCTCTGTATCATTCGGTGTGCCAAGCACAATGTCTAAGGGTATGTGGTTTAGTCAGATTTGTATGTAATTTCTCCACTGAAAGAGATTCAGAGATTCATGTTGTGATGGAAACAGAACAGTGATATCTGTTAATGACAGTATTCTTACTTGTAGATATCAAGAAAAAATGGTTATCAAGATGCTGATTATTTAAATTGGACACACAGTTTGTGTAGTGTGGTGTGACATTTATGGTTCAATGGTACAGAAACCCGTAAAATCTACATCATAGCAAGCTCATCAATATGAGAATCACTGTCTTAAACATAGGAACCCACTCAACACATTTTTAATAAAAAAATAACCTCATTTTTTGATTGGTCTTCTTTATATGACAGTTTGTATTATCCCTGGATGAGGTCATAGAGGTCACCACTTATGCCTTAAAAAACTTGCAATGACTTGGTCTACTTAATTTTAGAACATTTTTTATATATTTTGATGTCAAAAAAGATAATATATTTAGCAAAGAACACAGTAACTTTGGGGTTTTTTAAATATCACCACACAAAATGACTTTCCCTACTTTCTGTGACGTATTTCTGAGTTAAACACAGTATGAAAGGTCTATGAGCTGAGCACTTCTCTTAATGACAGGCATGGTGATGGGAGGGGGATGAACCATGATATTATTGGTTAGTATAGTTTCCCCCTGCTAGTTCATGATGACATAATAAAAACTCAACAGGCATTTTAGACGCAGGCAAAATGACTACACTTCAGTCAAAGAAGTCTTTTAAATTTTAATATCAATCATGTGTAATTTGACCAGCGATGCAAACTAACAAAGTGCATTTTGATTGACTTTTTCATGGCCAAAGATAATCAGCTCAAATTTCACAAACGTGAGAGTTTGTAGGTACTCCTACTAGTGAAGACATGCAGCTATAAAGCCTGTGCAAAAAAATCTTTATTGTAAAGCAAAAGAAACCATTCATACTGTACTCCTTACATTCATAAGAAGATCAACCCCCAAATGTCCTAAAAGTAAAAAAGCTCCTGGAACTCCAGTTCTGTCTAATCAGGTTTCTGTTTTGAAAAAGATCAAAAGGGAGATTTTTCTGCACACTCTTGTTTGACTGTGTTCGAGCATATTCTAACACACAAAATGCCTTTTCATTTCTAGTGAATGCCATTCTTCAAACTGAAAAAAACATAAAAAATTAAACTTGGTTAGTTTTTTACACATTTTGTTAAAATTTGAGATAATTTGAGGGAGAATCGGCTATGTTATTAGACTACAAAATCATGTCAATTTTATTGGGACACCCTGTACATTGGAACAAAGCCTTGCATCTCCATTTTTGCCATTTTTTTTTTTAAATTTGCCTTTTACATTGTCCAAATGGACCAAAAGAAAATGCCTTTTAGTCTGGTTACACTGACACATACCTGACTCTCTCTCTATATATATAGAGTCAATATATAAGCATATATAAGACTATAAGATATACACTGATCAGGCATAACATTATAACCTTGTTTCTATGCTCATTGTCCATTTTATCAGCTCCACTTACTATATAGGTGCACTTTGTAGTTCTACAGTTACAGACTGTAGTCCATCTGTTTCTCTGCATACTTTGTTAGCCCCCTTTTACACTGTTCTTCAGTGGTCAGGACCCCCATGGACCCTCACAGAGCAGGTACTATTTGGGTGATGGATCATTCTCAGCACTGCAGTAACACTAACATGGTGGTGGTGTGGTAGTGTGTGTTGCGCTGGTAGGAGTGGATCAGAAACAGCAGTGCTGCTGGAGTTTTTAAACACTGTGTCCACTCACTGTCCACTCTATTAGACGCAACTGCGTTGTAGGTCCACCTTGTAGATGTAAAGTCAGAGACGATAGCTCATCTGCTGCTGCACAGTTTGTGTTGGTCATCCTCTAGTCCTTCATCAGTGGTCACAGGACGCTGTTGGCTGGATATTTTTGGTTGGTGGACTATTCTCAGTCCAGCAGTGACACTGAGGTGTTTAGAAACTCCAGCAGCACTGCTGTGTCTGATCCACTCAGAGCAGCGCAACACACACCAACACACCACCACCACATCAGTGTTACTGTAGTGCTGAGAATGATCCACCACCCAAATAGTACCTGCTCTGTGAGGGCCCATGGGGGTCCTGACCACTGAAGAACAGTGTAAAAGGGGGCTAACAAAGTATGCAGAGAAACAGATGGACTACAGTCTGTAACTGTAGAACTACAAAGTGCACCTATATAGTAAGTGGAGCTGATAAAATGGACAAGGAGCGTAGAAACAAGGAGGTGGTCATAATGTTATGCCTAATAGGTGTATAAGCACATATGCACATATAATATATATATAAGCACAGAAAAACTAAGAGACACAACAAAACATTTAGAAACAGGAAAAACAGCCTCCACAAGCTGAGCTTCATTCACATCCTCAGGCACAGAACAGCAAAGCTCTTCAAATACAACAAAAGAAGGAGAACACTCTTCTTTGCTGTTACTCCTGCTGTTTGAATACAGTACCTCTATGGCCTCGAGATATAATAGCTAAAACTGATCAGTTCTACCTGACAGAATTCCTTGGAATGATTGACACAGCGCAAGTGAAAAATGTGTTTATTATTTTCAGATTCCATATACAACTGTAAGACATCAGCTTTCTCCTCTAGCAGCATCATTAGAGACAGAGATACTGGAGTGCAGTAGAGGAAAAGACTTAATCATCATGATATCGAAGGGTATGTGCCTATATTTAGTAAACGGGTGAAATACAGTAAATATTATTAAATAAATGAACAAAGCAGAATCAGTACAGCACAGTCAAAATTGACAATGGGTTTGGTTTGAATTACTCGCAGTTAAACCAAAACTAAGCCTGCAGTGTGTGTTTAAACAGTTGTTTTTAATTGAATGCACCTCATTTGGCTCCAGTTTAGTCTGTTGCTATTGGAACAAAACCTCCAAAATCTCCAAAGGGTCACTTTTCAGGAGAAGGAAAAAAACCTTCTCAACTTCTAATGGAAGTTCATGTAAAAATATGTTAAGTAATTCTGGACCATTTTGTATTAGTCCACTTATTGTGAAAATTTCAGACACTGTAAAGGGCAGCTGGTGGCTTTAAAAAAAAGACAAAAATGGAGATACAAGGTTTTGTCCCGACAGCAACGAAATAGTGGTGTTAATGTTAATGCTGAATGTTTAGACTCACATAACATGGACTAGATGAAATGAACCGGCACAGAGAGTTTGAAACCTTGGCCTCTGATAGGGACGGTTTTCTAATATTTCTACACCATTTTGATTCACTGCTTTACACGTAGCATGCATTT